TTCGTTTAATGTGGGTTTTAAGTTCTGATGATTTTGAGAACCACGCCCTTGGATGGCCACGCCCATTTAAGAAAATTAAATTTTGGAAAACCGTATTATTTTAGTTTTATTACTGAGTGGAGTTGGGTTAAAAACATATAAGAGATACGATGATTTAACTTGTAGAAGCTTTCAATAAACATGTGTTAATCGTCGTCAGCTGAATGTGATGTGGTGGACAATGCTTATATGTGATTGAGTGGTGTCAGGGATGGAGGGTGGGGGAGGTGTGGGTGGGAAAGTGAAAATTACAGTACAATGTCAATAAAAATTTAGTCTTCTGTTGAGGTTGAGAAGGAAATGCCAGATGGTCTGGACTTTAAGGATTTGGCAATTTTAGGAAGAATGGGGTCCCAGAGGGAACTACATTTGGGTGCGCGGTCTGTTCTGTTCATAGCTGGTTGTCGTATTTGTATAGCTGCGTGTTCTGTGAGGTCAAATTGGGAGCGTGAGGTGAGGGATTTGAGGACTTCGATGTTGTTCCAGGAGATGGTGTGGCCGGTGGTCAGGGCATGATGTGCAGGGGCTGATTTGATTCTGTCTGTGGATTCGTCGATGGCGTTGTTGAGTCTGTAACATCGTTCGTGTTCTTTCATGCGGTGGACCAAGGGTCTGTAGGTCTGTCCGGCGTATTTGGAGGGGCACTGTGAGCAGGAAATTTCGTAGATGGTGTTGGGAGTGAGGTGAGTAGGTGCCAGGGGGTGTGGTCTTCGTTTTGGTGAGGAGGTTGCGGAGGGAGGTAGCAGAGGAGTGGGTGACTTTGATGTCGTGTTGTCCGAGTATCTTGGAGATGGGTTTGGATAGGGAGGGATGGAAAGGAAGAGAAACACTAAGGGCATGTTCACGGGTCTGTCGGTTGAATGAGGCTAGGGATTGGTGGCGAGAGGGGTTGGTGAATTTCCGTTGTACTTCGTCCATGATGGTGGTGATGCGGTGAGGAGGGAAGCCGTTCTGGAGGCAAACGTGTCGTACTGTCTGGAGTTCGTCGTCAAGGTGTTGGGGTGAGCAGATGTTGTGGGCTCTTCTGGTCAGTGATCGGATGACTGCGTTCTTAGATGAGTTGGTGGTGCAGGAGGAGTACTTGGTGTAGAGGTTGGTGTGGGTGGGTTTTCTGTAGACTGATGTGGATTTGTCAGGGTGGATGAGAACGTCAAGGAAGGGTATAGTTCCGTCTGTAGAGGGATGTTCTTGGGTAAAGTTGAGGTCTTCAGTAAGGGAGTTAAGCCTTAAGGAATGTAAGGAAGGATTCTGCGTGGTTTCTGTCTCTGAAAGATCCAAGGCCGTCGTCAACGAAATGGGAGTAAGTGTTTTGAGGATAAAGCTAAGGTCTCGATTTCAGCAAGGCGGATTTCAGCTAGTTCAACAATGAGGGGGGATCCCATTGTACCACCTTCGTCTTGGGAGTAGAAGGAGCCGTTGAATTCAAGGTATGAGTTGTCAAGGCAAAAGTTGATAAGGGAGCCTATGGTGGTGGTGGTGACATTGGAGGGAAGACGAGAGGGGTTCTGTTCAAAGGAGGAGATTAGTTTTATTGTTTAATGATCTGAATTTTTTCACATTTCACATATCCATATGTGATAGTAGTGAATAAATTGATGATATAAACGTTCTAAAGTGCTAAAAATATGGTAGAACTACATAATCTCTGGTCGAAAAATATCTCGTCAATTAATGTCAGTATTCCAAAATTTTGCAAAACTGATATTGACATTAATTGACATTATTTGACATTAATTGACGTTGCATCACCCCCAATTCGAATAAATCACGGATCCTTAGGTATTGTGAAAATTCTCACAGTCTCTAGAAAACAGTGGTACACAAATTTTTAAAATCCGAGCATGTTTATTTTTATCGTGCACCCCCTAGTATCATCGCGAGGATCCCACGAGGATCACCGCGAGGATACCTATATGAAATTTCGACGAAATTATGGAAATCATATCCTCGTGTGCATCCTTGTTCATCGTTCATTGGGCATGGAACAGGGGTGTTACGAACTTTATAAAACTTTTGAAAATTTTCACTTACAATATTTTGGACTCTTAAAATTTTCTAAATTTGTAAAGAATAACCACTATTTACCACTTTTTACCATATTGAATCTCTGCTAATAAAACGACTTCTGAATGTCGTAGAAGGTTTTAGATTGAACCAATGTGTTCAAAACATAAAAGAGAACAACTTTTTATCCGACAACCTTTGGATTAGATAATTTATTAATTAGTTAATCAATTATTTAACAAATAATCAAAAATTATAAAAATCATTTTCGATCAAAATATTTTAAAATTACAAATACACTAACACTTTACACTAACACTATACACTATTGACTATACACTTTACACTAACACAAACTGTATTAGGATGGGTAAGCCAGGAACAGCCAGCAGCTCTTCAAAACCCGCCACTGAAAAGAAGAAGTCCAAGAAGAGGGAGAAAGTAGAGGAAGAGGAGAAAGTAGAGGAAGAGTTGAAAGTAGAGGAAGAGAAGGATGTTTATGTTGTGGAGAAGATTCTGGATAAGAGGGTTTTAGAGGACGGAACAGTGCTCTAATATCTCAAATGGAGGGTACGTACTACTATTGTTACCATGGTAACAGGGTACGTACTACTATTATTACCATGGTAACAGGGTAGTGGGTACGTAGTACTAGTTAGTATACTAGCTAGTGCGAGATTTTCATTTTAATCATGTTAATTGTGACCTCTTGGGCACATAAAATATTCACCAGTATATACTATACCCCTCACCAGTATGTACTGTACCCCTCACTGTACCCTCACCGATCAGTTTTCAAATCAACTGTCACCTCTCCCTGATAAACCGACAGCCCTAAATTTATATTCTATTTTTAAATTTATCAAATTTGTTAGGTCCGAACGATTCCTCTGCTCAAAATTCAATGGGAGAAGTTTGTTAAATAGTGTAATTGTTATTCATTCTCTGTGAAGCTTGTTCTTGCTGAGAGGTTCTAAATCTTAACGCTAGTTACTACTACTTTATACTACTACTAAGTCTAGTTACTTAAACTGATAATAGAAAACTGAAAAGCAATAACTCCAGAATTACCCTGAGTCAGACAACACCTGGGAGCGAGTAAGGAATTTAGATTGTGACGAGCTGATATCTGAGTTTGAGAAGGTACGTGTTTTACTTATAGGCTAGGGTAGACATGTAGACCCCATCACCTGCTACGCTCATTATGCGTGATATAAACCTCTCCAACCCATGATAACTTGGGGGGGGGGGGGGGTTGTAGCTGTATTGGGGTTTTGTCATTGGTGGGGGGGGGGGGGGGGGGGTGCCACGTCCGTCTATGTCCGCTTGTCTCATGAAATCCAAAAAGGACTGGACAGGACAGGACAGGACATTGGCGGACATAGGCGAAGTCCTCACCTACCCCTCGATACACAATTTTGGACTCGAGGCTTCCCCCTGGTAATGCGATTTCAGAAGGCAGGCCTCGGCCCCTTTGCAACACGAGCTCGGAATCGGGAGCTCTCGATACGGGAGGTACGCATCGAGAATGACTCGGACCGAAAATTTTCTAACTTAAAATTTTTCTAAGTTTTTCTGAAAACCACTTTTATCCACATTTCATGCTACCCTGTTCATTGTTAGCCGAAAATATTGTTTCAAAATCATGTGCGAAAAATTCTCATAATGTTTGTCCGTTAATGTCCGCCAATGTCCGTCTGAGTCCGTCAATGTCCGTCCGAGTCCGTCAATGTCTCATAGAATCCAAAAAGGACAGGACATTTATAATCTTTATGATGTATTTTTAGTGCTTACCTACATCTCTTTTGTTGTGAATACAATCTGAATGGTCGATCTTGCAACATATGACTCTTATTAACAATATGATATCGTAGGTTATCAAGTCTGTTGATGATATCAACGAACAAAAGCAAGAAAAAACAACAACGAAGAGTTCCGGCGATATTCAGAGTAAAGTTGGAGATTTTTATTCAGATTTGGAGACAAAGGAAGTTGTACTTGGAGGTGTTGTTGGTGACATGGAATACAGGTTTGTGTTTGTATAATCTCTGTTGTACCCCGAGAATTCGTATGATATCGTGAAATTTGTCGAAAAATTTAAAAATTATCAAACATTTAGAAATATTAGGAAGACTTCAAACATTCACTATTTCACGCTAAATTTAATTACAGTTGGTTGTCTGTTGGGACTGCAAAAGCTGCTGTTGGAGACTGTGTCTTCGTGAGACTAACAGAAGGAATACAAATGGGAAGAATAATATCAATATACAAAGAACACAAGAACGCTACAGATCCTGTACGTCTGAAACTGTTCAGAATCTACTTGGAGGAGGAGATGTTTGCCACCAAGCGGAATTCAGCGACAATCCATGTCAATGAGGCTTTTGCTACGGACTTTATTATCCATGCTCTGGCATGTCAGGTGGATGAAACTGTTGATGTGGTTTATTTGAAAAAGCGAGAGAAGATTCCTCCGAAGAATGAGATACCTAAAGGTTAGAAAGGCCCCTTAAAAATGATAGGAATTTTTTACGGAATTTATTAGAAGGCCTGAGGTAGCTTCAAAACTTTGGTCACACTGATTTCCCGGGGTTCGACTGTCTAACCCAGCATTCCTTGTCTTATAAGTAAACAGTAGCGTAGATCTTGTCAGGTACTGCGAGGTTTTAACTAATTCATTATTATTATATAATTAATAATACACTATACAGTATATTATTTACAGGACGGCTGTTTATTAGGCGGTATTACCACCCACTAAAACACATAGTACGATCCCTCGCTGAACCTCTAGACTCAGCAGATCTCTCTATCATACCTCAACCCTATCCTCCTATAAATGGTCATAACGAGGAAGATATGAACCTCAACAGGAAAACATGCATTCCTGATGGTTGGAGTGGCACAGTTAGCTATTCAGATGAGAAGGAATCTGACTCAAGAGATGTGGTTGCGAAGCGGGTGAGGTTTAAGAAAAGAAAGTGGCCGATAGAAAGTTATAATAATAGAAGCTGTGTCTGATAAGAGGCCGAAGGTTACTTTCGACTGTGACAGGTTCAGAGCGAAGGTTTTAAGTAAAGCAAAACTAATACCGCAGTCAGATCTAGATTCTTTAGCGGAATCGGAACCGTGTGCAGTGTCAGAGCGAGGTGTAAGAGAGTAGTGTAATGTCAGAACCGGATGTGAAATTTCCGGAGGTGAGGAGAACTGCGAGGGCTGGCAAGCCAGTTGTGGGATCTCGTTTGTATATAGATTAGACAATGATACCTAGCGCAGTGATGTCATGGGGTGATTTTTTGACGTTTTAAGGGGCGGATTGTTGGGCTTGCAAGTTTTTTAATTATTTCTTGTTTTAAGGGTGCTTGTAGAAGACCCCTCTACCTACCGTACACCAAATCATAAGGACATAACTATTTTATTTTACGTTATCATTATTTACAATAACAATTATTTAATAGAAATATTTTCTATATCTGAAGTCTCACTGTTTCAAGACGTTCAATGCATTCAGAAATTAAGAAAAGCCTTGTTACTGGCATGATATTATCTATTCATTATGACGTTGAAATCTTAAAGTGTACTAACATTTATACATTATAAAACCTTACCCTATTATTTCTCATTTCAAGAAGTAATATGGCACTGTTCCCGTTGATTCTGTTGCTCTTGGTATGTTCTGGACCTACATCTGACTTGGACGATGTGTTGACCATCACAAGAATAGAGGTAAGAGTATTATTATATTGCTTAAGAGTATTATTATATTTAAGAGTATTATTATATTGCTTCTCACAAAAACTATTCATTAATCTTCACCCTCTTTTTCAGTTGTTTATGTACGACCACTTTGGTTCCGGAACTATGACAATGTTTCTTTCCTCTATCGGTGTGATGATCCGCCTCCCGGTCTGTCGGTTAGTTTGTGAAATTAGGGAGTGGGGGGGGGGGCAACCATATTAAAGTATATTAAAGTATATCCCCGGGTCAAAATCGGAAAAAAAAAACCTACATTTTAATATACTTCAATATGGTTCAAAATTTTAATGGAGATAATATAGGTATATTAAAGTACATTAAAGTATATTAAAGTACATTCAAGTATATTAAAGTATATTAAAGTATATTAAAGTATATCCCCGGGTCAAAATTGGAAAAAACCTACATTTTAATATACTTTAATATGGTTGCCCCCCCCCCCCCCCCCCCCAAATTATTTAAAAATGATATTATTGGTCTATTAATGCTTTTCATACAAAGTTACAACGAATTCTTCATGTTATGCATCCTGGGTTTGGACAGGATATGACCCGTTTAAATTTAAAATGTTTCCATCACATAATTGTCAATAAATGTATTTAATTGTAGTTGTGAAATTATTTTATGATTTGGGGTGCTGAAATTGTGGAATCTGAACGTGCAAATTTGAAGTGAAGGTGACTCGTGATAATTTACATCAAACAAAATATAAACTATGTAAATACTTCTGAGCAATTACATCATAAGGATTATAACGTGATTACATAAGGATTAAAGTTATTCTAAATTTCAACTCCTTCTATCTAATCCTATTTAATTATCAAATAATAATGGGGGTGTCCAACCCAAAAAAACCATTTTACCTCAAATTTCCATTTTGGGAATGGGTTTTTTTGGATTATTTGTAACTTTTTATCTAATTCGACTACATCATGTTTTTTTGTCCATGCGGTGCCCTATATTTTCAAGATGGACAAAAAAATAGGTGGACAAATATGAACAATAATGGACAAACAATTTCAAAATACACGGAAATAGTCCGAGATGAAAGGGGAACTCACTAGATTTTCGGGTTAAAATCGATTTCTCGACGGTAATCACGGTACCGCGACAATTGACCCCCCCCCCCCCCCCGACAATTGACCCCCTATGTAATTACACTGGGGTCAATTGTCGCGAAATCTAGTAATTAGTACGACAAGTGACCCCCCGACAATTGACCCCCCCCCCCCCCCCCCCCCATGTAATTACATAGTACACTGAGATCAATTGATCGGGTTAGGGTACTAGGGTTAGGGTACTAGGGTACTAGGGTCGGGGTCAGGGTTAGTTGTATTAAATTATATTGTCGGGGGGGGGGGGGGGGGTTAATTGTCAACCACCCGGTTATCACCTCTCTAGATGATGATTAAAACATTTGGCCTTCATTTCATTTTTGTACTAAATGTAATAATGGTGATTTGGGCCACATTCTTATCTAGAATTTCGCGATCACTCGAATTTTTCTATTTAAGCCCAGGAAGATCGTAGAAACTATTTCGATACACCAAAATGTGCCTAATAGTCATATTTATGTAGGGTATATTATACAACTTATAAAGCAACATAATATTGATATACCTTTAAATGCTTATTTTCGGAAATATGACCGAGAAACGGTTTTTGGCTTGACGCAGTTCATAATTTCCGTGGTTTTTTGTCTTTTTCGCCCAGGAAAGTTGTGGAGACGTTTCTGATAGTATCAGAAAGATGTATCAGTGATACACCAAAATGCGCCCTATAGCCACATTCATCTACAACTTATGTAGCAACATATACCTTTAAATGCTTATTTTCGGAAATATGGCCGAAAAACGGTTTTTGGCTTGACACAGTCCATAATTTCCGTGATTTTTTGTGGGTTTTCCGCCTAGGAAAGTTGTAGAGACTATTTAGTTACACCAAAATGTACCTAATAGCCACATTTATTTACAACTTATGAAGCAACATATTATATATATTATACCTTAAAATGTTAATTTCGGAAATGTGGCTGAAAACAGATTATAGTATAATCTGTTTTCATAATTTATATTATTAGGGGTCGTTATATTACGTAATCAATTTTCAAACTCCGTAATTAGTTTTACATATAGCTATAATCGTGGCAAAATTACTCTAGCGTAATCATTTGGAAACCCCCTTAACCCTCGGCTGATTACATAATACTAATATTTGAACAATACCTTCTAGATCTATATTCTATAGGTCCAATACTGAGTGAAAAAGTCTCAAAATCTGATCTACGACCTACTAATGATACAGGTCGGATCTCAGAGCAAAATACATATTACAGGCAGCTCTAGTTGTCTCGAAATCATATCTTGGTAATACTTAGGTTACTTACCTTTGCTCAAAGGTTGCTCTCTTTGAAAGCCATTGTAGAAGGCTTTCGTCTCCGACTGAACCTATTGTTATATTATAAATTCGTCTGCCCAAAGTAAATACCCGTCCTGGTGTGTTCTACCCCTGATCTAAACCTTAGTAACTGTAGCGTCAGCGATTGCGATAATTTGAAGACCAAGTTTGTCACATGAACATCTAGTCAGTGTTTGATTGGTCTAAGCACGTTACCAAACCCCAAAATCTGCTGCTGAGTTGGCTGGGATATTCAAAAAGAATCTCTCAATTTTTGGCTCGTTTAAATCTGGGTGGTTATCTGTCACACCATTATCTTATGTTTCAAATTTACACGTGAGTAGATCCAATTGTTCGAGCTAGGCTTTCCGTCAACCTGACGGTTGAGAACATTAAAAACCCCGTTTAATCTTATGATTTGCCAGTCAAGATTTATCAGATGTAATTAAATGATTAAATCTAGCTATACCCCTGATCTAAACCTGGGTAACTGTAGCGTCAGCGATTGCGATAATCAGAAGACCAAGTTTGTCACATGAGCATCTAGGCAGTGTTTGATTGGTCTAAGCACGTTACCAAACCCCAAAATCTGCTGCTGAGTTGGCTGGGATATTCAAAAAGAATCTCTCAATTTTTGGCTCGTTTAAATCTGGGTGGTTATCTGTCACACCATTATCTTATGTTTCAAATTTACACGTGAGTAGATCCAATTGTTCGAGCTAAGCTTTACGTCAACCTGACGGTTGAGAACATTAAAAACACCGTTTAATCTTATGTTTTGCCAGTCAAGTTTTATCAGATGTAATTAATCGATTGAATCTAGCTATATTATGTACCTAGTATAAGTATACCTTATCGGACCTTATTTGGACCTTATTTGGACGAACATTAAATGAACGGACATAATTATGAACGGACATTAATATGAACGCTAGAAGGCATTCAAACCCATCAAAAAATCCGAATTTTGTTCATCTCTTTTTGACGTTTAAAAAAATGTTAGCAAATGATTTTTAAATCTATTTTTCATACAGTAAAAGCAGTCGTTAAGCTGTAAAAATGTTGAAATATGTGTACATGATCAGTGTCTTATATCACATATCAACTTCATCAAATGGGTTCGAAATGTTCGAAATGTTCGAAAAAAATTCAACGGATTTTAACTTGGACGGACCTTAAATGAACGGACTTTATTTGAACGGACATTTAGATGAACGCTAGGGCCTACAGCGTTCAATTAATGTCCGTCCAAATAAGGTCCGATAAGGTAGCTGTATATGTTAACAGCTAAAATATATTTATTAATCATTAATGTGTATAAAATTAGGTTGACGCTGATAAACAAAAATTAAAAGGAAATTCTTTTTGGTACCACCCTCGTGTCCATGTTTAAGTGAGTCATGTGATCCGCCCTCGTGTTCACCCTTTTAGCAAAGTACCGCCCATGTGTCCTCCGCCCTCGTGTCCGGTTCCCGTAGTGTTAGCAGTAGCTGCATCTATTGAACTCTCTCCAGTATCTTGAAAAAATGTTGGTTACCATAATTTCGGTCTGAGATTTCGCAAATTTTTAGTCTACAACAATTTTAGTCACATTTTTCGACTTTTCGAGACCATTTTCCATTCTATCTATTTGATTTTTCCATTATTTAGCTATTTTTTTTCCAATTTCGCACATAAAACCACTCAAAGACATCTTAATAAAAATGTCGTCCTATAAAGCTATAAACAGTACTTGCGGGTTGCCTGTAAAACTTCACCATGGAAACGAGGCCTGTGTTCCGTCTCTTCTAATTTTTGTTTAGAATTTAGATTACAAGACTAGATAATCAATAATCATAACCATACTATGACATGACATAACTGGTCGAAAGTTCTGTCAAAACTGTTAAACTTCGGTCAAGGAAACGGCAGAAAAGCTTTTATTTAAAAATCCTCCAAAATATTTCTTTCTGGGGCCATCTACTTAGGACGTCCGCCAAAATTGCAGATTTTCATACCACTCCCCCTGTCCGGGTGTCCGAATTTTCAAAACCACCCCCTCCACCGGACGTCCGGATGGTCGCCAGACTGGCTGGCGACATGAAGTATAAAATGCAGTAGGAGAATATGGGAGTTGTGTCTCGACTCTTATGAGCTGCTCTAGGAATCGACTTCTCGTTCAAAATACAGGGATCTAAACTCACAGAGTAATTAGTGTCAAAGAGTTAAAATAAATGGGACTTTTTCGTTAATTCTGCCACAATTTCCGGACGTCCGCGGTCCGGATTTTCAGAAACCACCTCCCCCTGTCCGGATTTGTCCGAAATTCCAAAACCACCTTTTGAAAAAAACCTTAAATAAAAGGGGAAAAAAAACTGTGATTTTCTGTTCCACTTTCAATGATGCTTTGAAGTTTGAACTTAGAGGGTTTTAACCAATGAACGTTTTGACTTATATATAATTTAATAAAGATTATGACTTCATATTCTATGAAGCTTTTCCGGACAGTTCATTACCTTAAACTAAACATATTACTCAGCTATTATAGTATTAAGGATGAAACTAATCATGGTCTGTGTATTCATGCTGGTGGTGTCCCCACTCGGCAGCAGTGCATTCAAAGACTTTTTCAGCGGAGTCGTCAAAGGTGTTGAGGACACAATCGAGAGTGTGAACAAAGGTGTTGAGGACACGATCGAGAGTGTGAACAAAGGTGTTGAGGACACAATCGAGAGTGTGAACAAAGGTGTTGAGGACACGATCGACAGTGTGAACAAAGGTGTTGAAGACACAATCGAGAGTGTGAACAAAGGTGTTGAGGACACAGTCGAGAATGTGAACAAAGGTGTTGAGGACACAATCGAGAGTGTGAACAAAGGTGTTGAGGACACAATCGATTGTGTGAACAAAGGTGTTGAGGACACAATCGACAGTGTGAACAAAGGTGTTGAGGACACAATCGATTGTGTGAACAAAGGTGTTGAGGACACAATCGACAGTGTGAACAAAGGTGTTGAGGACACAATTGAGAGTGTTAACAAAGGTGTTGAGGACACAATCGAGAGTGTGAACAAAGGTGTTGAGGACACAATCGAGAGTGTGAACAAAGGTGTTGAGGACACAATCGAGAGTGTGAACAAAGGTGTTGAGGACACGATCGACAGTGTGAACAAAGGTGTTGAGGACACAATCGACAGTGTGAACAGAGTAGTTGAGGACACAATCGCCAAGGTAAAGAACGGTGTCCAGGCGATTGTTGGAGAACTGAAGTTGGCAGCGGAACTGGGACCTAAAGGAATCTACGTAGCTCTGATTCTTGCTGGTGTTGAGTTTTTCATACTCTTTAGTTTAGCTTGTGGTTGGTGTCGTAACGGGTGGGCGACAATTGACCCCCCGACAATTGACCCCCCGACAATTGACCCCCCGACAATTGACCCCCCGACAATTGACCCCCCGACAATATAATTTAATACAATTAACCCTGACCCTGACCCTGACCCTGGCCCTGGCCCTGACCCTGACCCTGACCCTAACCCTAACCCTGACCCTAACCCTAACCCTAACCCTAAGTTTAGCTTGTGGTTGGTGTCGCAACTTATGTCGTTGAACTGTTTAGCGGAGTTTCTAGGCGAGCTTAACCCGGTGACCAGTAATGGTCCTTCATGTCCAGTCTTATTACCCGGTCAATTATTTAGACCAGGATTTCTATTAAATATACTAGCAGGAACCCGTTACCCGTCTAACCCTAAAGTTAGACGGGTCAAGACTCAAGACCCAAGAGATTAAAATAATTATTACCTATTTAATTCACGTTTTTGACACCACTTGGGGGTCCAAATTTTGGGCACTCAAATTCTTATTTCCTGGCAAATTTTTAATATTTTCATGCTGATTTGAAGGCCATAAAGGTATTTGACCCAGTGAAAAAAAGTTTCAGTTTTATATCTTTTACGGAACGTCGTTTTAAAGTTGATGCCGTGGTGTCAGTATAATATATAATATATATATATACACCTATATATATCGTCTCGATTTATATATAGTAAGATTCTATAATTCTTATTCTTCAATAACAATTTTTGTAAGCCTAAAAGTTGTTTCACTTGATTAAGTTATTTAATCTTACGTGTAATGGCTTGTTTAAATTGAATTATTTTAATCAACATTTTGTTGAGAGTTTCTGGCGATAACCGGTGGCATTTTGCTTATTACAGACTATTTTATCTTAACAATTTTAATATTTACAGTAGACCTATTTATTATTGGTCTGATATGTTCGATTCTGACATTATTTTCGGATTCTAATTGCTTAACCAATTTGCATACATCAGGGGATGGTCAACCTGTATTTCTATATGAACAATCAAATCTGTAAGCATCATTTTACATTATCATTATTTACAATAACAATTATTTGATAGAAACATTTTCTATATCTGAAGTCTCACTGCATTCAGCAATTAAGAAAAGCCCTTTTACTGGCATGATATCTATTCATTATGTTGAAATCTTAAAGTGTACTAACATTTGTTCATTATAACACCTAACCCTGTTATTTCTCATTTCAAGAAATAACATGGCACTGTTCCCGTTGGTTCTGTTGCTCTTGGTATGTTCTGGAGCTACATCTGACTTGGACGATGTGTTGACCATCACAAGAATAGAGGTAAGAGTATTGATTCTCGCAAAAACTATTCCATCATTAATTTTAATGGTGGTTAAATTTAGCTTTAATCTGATCATCATTAAGCTTAATTAACAGTGCCATTATTAACGAACAATCTTCACCCTCCTTTTCAGTTGTTTATGTACGACCACTTTGGTTCCGGAGCTCTGACAATGCTTCTTTCCTCTATCGGTGTGATGACCTGCCTTTTGATCATGATCGCCGTCTGCAGGTTATTTTGTGAAGTTTAAATTTATAATTATCGTCATAAACGTGATTTTTCTATTTTTGATTAGGGATCGTTCACACATTACGTAATCACTTTTTGGACAATTTTTACCCCCCCCCCCCATCCGTAATCAGTTTTACACTTATTGTGTAAAAATTACAGTAGCGTAATCATTTGGAACCCCCCCCCCCCCCCCCCCCTCGGCTGATTACGTAATATGTGAACGATCCCTTACTACTAAAAAGAAAGATAATTTCGATTTAATTGCGAAAGATATTTTAAATAAAATTAAGATTCTTAGATTACTAAATTACTAACTTACTAACTTCACAATTTGACCAGGTGTTTTGATGATCTGACCAAGTGCTTTAAGGGTGCTTGTAGAAGACCTCTCCCCCTAGCCCCACAGTACACCGAATTGTAAGGACATTCCAAGAATCAAGATATACAGTGCTGCTCCCTCTAGTCCTCAACTGATAACTGAGTAGCACAGTTAAACATGGAGAATGAACACTTTGTTAAATCCATATTTTATAGGTTTTTATTTTATTTTAAACTATGTATCTATTTAGTTATTAACTTACTTATTAACTTACTTATTCATAATGTTTCATTTTTATGATCTATCAATTGCGTAATTGTTTTTCATGTCATCGGAAGTTATTTTACTTTACAGTTGTTGTGACCGTCAGGCGTCAAGTTACACGATAGAAAATATTGCTCAATTATCATCCTATTATGATTCCGTCAAATTTTGTATTTTTACTTTTATAATTGTGCTAATATGATTTGAGAAAAAAACTTAAGTGGAATGGATTTTTTATCAGAACATACTTAACTGTCAGAATTTGAAAAGTTGATCCCTAAATCTAATTCCTTCCATGATTTATTTGAATATTAGTAAACTGTAATTTTGTTTTCACTTTACTATTTAATGATTGCAATCTAAATGTTTCACGATGATACCGTTTATCAAAATCAATTGTTTTTATTCCTAAATCAGTATCAGCGAAACATTATTATCGTTTAAAAACAACGAACCCTTCAGTATTAAATAGGCTGGTCCAAGCGTACATGTAAACATATTTATTATTATTCCATGATTTAACATGAATCTGAACACATTTTCTCAGCTATCGAAGATGAAACTAGTCATGGTCTGTGTGTTCATTGTGCTGGTCTCCCCAGTTGGCAGCAGCGCAATCAAAAACTTTTTCAATAAAATTGGCAAAGGAGTTGAGGACACTTATGACAAGGTGCACAAAGGGATCGAAGACACACTCAACATGATGGACAGAGTTGTTGAGGATACGATTGAAGATATGGACCAAAGTTATCACAACGGCAAAGAACCGGCGTTGGAAGTGGAGATAGATCCTGAAGGAATATATGTTTCTTTAACTTAGTTTTCTATCAACTTGTCGTTACTGGTGTTGTGGTCAGAGGCTGTGATGGGTGACTGGAACTGTGACCCGGTGACCAGTGAATGGTCTTTTATGTCCAGTCAATCATTTTGTCAACTACATAGACCGGGATTCCTATTTCTTATTTTTCAATGACAATTTTGATACGCTTTCAATCTTTATGTAAGTTGTGTAACTTATTCTAGTATGTATTTTAATCTTATATGCAATGGTTTGCTCGTTATTAAATTATTTTCATTAACATTTTGATGAAATTTTCTTGCTACAGCTGGTATCATGCTGTTGATTAGGGGTCGTTCACATATTACAAGAACGTTTATTTTCGTTATTTCACTATTTACAGTAGCAATGTTTCCAAAACAGCATCTTATCGGCCCAATGAAATTGTTTTGCGGCGTGAAGTCGCTTGATTTAAAAATTTGAGAAGTATTCTTCAATTTTATTCTTAATTTTTGTTTCCTATGAGGGTCATTAACAGACTGTATATTTTTGGCAACCAATAGTATTGTTTTTACTTGCCCTTCTTAAATAATTGCAGATCATAATAGGAGTCCTCAGGAATTGAGGAACAATAGTCTTTAAGACTGCTGTCCCTCAATTCCTTAATACAAAATATATATATTATATGTGCTCAAAGCGTACTCTATGCCAGCAAATGAACAAACAATGGTTTGAAAAATTTAATTTAAGTATTTCTGCAATTATCTTTTACAATTAATATGATTTATCTTAACAATAGAAATCATTGAAGTTTAACTTTTTCATGATGCATTCAGCTGTAAGCAGATGTTATTAAACTTTCAAGGTAAAAATGGGTACTAGGCCGGGTGATTTATTTAAATCTTAAAGTCTAATATTTATATATAATATCACCTAACCCTATTATTTCTCATTTCAAGAAGTAACATGGCACTGTTCCCATTGATTCTGTTGCTCTTGGTATGTTCTGGAGCTACATCTGACTTGGACGATGTGTTGACCATCACAAAAATAGAGGTAAGGGACCGACTGTTCACATATTACGTGATCACCAGTCAGGGTCCGGGACTCTAGGGCGTAAGACTCTAGGGCGTGAGACTTTAGGGCGGCGCCCTAACCCTAACCATCACCCTAACCCTAACCCTTATCCTAACCCTAACCCTAACCCAAACCCTAACCCTAACCCTAACCCTAAGACCCTAGAGTCTTACGCCCTAGAGTCTTACGCCCTAGAGTCCGGACCCCCACCAGTCACCTTTAGGCAAAATTTTAACATTAATCGACCATTAATTAAAGATCAGTGATTTCATTAGATAGTTGATATTTAATTTTACTGCACCTCAAACAGAATAATTATTCTACTGAATAATTTGGATAATGTCATCCACTTTTTTCGTGAATTATCCATTACAATAATCTACTAATATCTACATTTATCTACAAAAAATGTATATCTCAAATATGTGCCCAGAAATTCTACTGAATTTTTGGAGATAAATGTATAAATTTTTAGAATTTGTAGAATTTTCGTGAATTATCCATTGACAATAATCTACAAATATCTACATATATCTACAAAAAATGTAATCTCAAATATGTGCCCAGAAATTCTACTGAATTTTTGGAAATAAATGTATAAATTTGTAGAATGTCATCCACTTTTTTCGTGGATTATCCATTCTACATTAATCTACAAATATCTACAAATATCCACTTGGCTCCCCCCCAAAATATGATAAAACAATTAAAACGAGCTCGGTGGAAGCTGTAATAATAATATATCGACACAAATCATTGTGTCTTCTCAGCAATTATAACCAAACGCACTCCAATACACATCACATTCCACGTTAATTAAATCTCTGGGTTCCGTTTCCACAGCTGTTGTCACGTAGAAGTTAGAACCACGTTGTTTGACTGTACGCGTTCTCTACGTAAACAGGCGGACATGGCGCATTGCCAGCATGTCCACTCAGTGTCACAGTGACTACGGTACCGCGACAATTGACCCCCCGACAATTGACCCCCCGACAATTGACCCCCTGTGTAATTATACTGGGGTCAATTGTCGCGAAATCTAGGGTTATTAAGACATTAGACAATTGACCCCCCGACACTTGACCCCCCGACAATTGACCCCCTATGTAATTACACTTGGGTCAATTGTCGCGAAATCTAGGACTTAGTACGACAATTGACCCCCCGACAATTGACCCCCCCCCCCCCCCCCCCCCCGACAATTGACCCCAGTGTAATTACATGGGGATCAATTGTCGGGGGTCAATTGCCGCCCACCCGTACAATGACCTTACCATCTACTGGTGATCATTTGTTAACAAATTTGAAATTGATATAATTATAATCACGGAAAATAACAATATTTTTACTGTTCATCCAGCACTGCTGGAGATGATGTCAAGTGCTGGATTCCAGCAGAGACTTGACATCATCTCCAGTGTCTGTGATGTTTATCGACAAATTGTAAAATGCAGGATCATTAAAATGAGGGGGCTTGCATAATATTCAATAACATTCTACTTTTTGAACGACCCCTAAGAGTATTACTTCTCACAAAAACTATTGTTAATGAACAATATCCTGATGATGGTTAAATCAAACATTAAAATAATCTTGTCCGCTTCAAGCTTGATGGCAGGAAAACATGTTAACAGTACCATTATAAATTTCCTTTTCTTCCAGTTGTTCATGTACAACAACTTTGGATCCGGAGCCCTGACGATGCTTGTTGGAGCTATCGTTGTGATGACCTCCATGCTGATCATTATCGCCATCTGTCGGTTAGTTTCTAATACAGGCAGCTTTATCGACATTCCTAATCTTCGTGTTTGTGATTCAATCGATTAATATAAAATTAGTAATACTAGTATCTGAGAAAGCTTAAGTATTTATTTAATTCATTTGAATTTGTTGATGAACTTCATAATTTGACCAGGTGTTTTGATAATCTGGTGAGGTGTTTTACGGGACCCTGTAGAAGACCCATCTTTCCTCCACCCGCACAGTTGTTCAGTACGCTCCAAGAGCACCGACCCGCTCAGGATAACATTTACTGTGGTATTGGTGTGGAACTTCCTCTCATCTCCATAACTGATGCCTGTGTTGAGTGTCTAGTATGATGGTACGGGTTCAGCAGGAGAGATAATAGCAATTGGTTCGCAAGTTTTGTATTCTAATATTTAATCCGATCCCACTTAATTTTATTTTATATCCTATTTGTCAATTTTTATTTACTCATAAATGACATGATTATTTACAAAGTGTGTTGTTTGGTTTTAATCTCTGTATGCCATTTTATTAGATAGTAAGGAGTTCTAGTTGTCGGGACCGTAAACGCCAAACAGTTGGTTTGGGGTCGTTCACATATAATACGTAATCCCTGAGGGGTTTCTGAATGATTATTGATTACGCTAGTTTAATTTGAACACAATATAATAGCTATGCGTAACACTGATTACAGAGAGGGGGGTAAAGTAATAATATGTGAACGACCCTTATTCCTTAACGACTACCAAATAGGGTCTGATAAGCTGACGATAAGCTATGATATGTGACCTGCGTACAACATTAGGTTGTTTACGTTGCTATGCGGAAAGTATAATCAATGATACTAAAAATATGTGTTTGTTTATAGAATGAAACGACCGGTTGAGTCAGACAAATGTTTCAATCATGATACAAAACCATGATATAATCAGTGACAACTGAGGTATAGGAACTACAATTTTGTCTACATACTCCACCCAAAATAAGCGGCTTCTTAGCTATCTGCTGTCGTGTTACTGTTGGTGGAATTTTAACTTGAGTAACAACATCAAACATGTTTTATTACAATATGTATTGATCATTATGACATAATGTGTCAACTTAATCAAAATCAACTGTTTTTTTCCTTGTACCACTGCCAGTTTCGTAGACATAATGATTATTAATCGGGCGAAAACAACAAATGGATAGGATTTTTCGTGTGCGATTAGTCTCCTTACTTAAACTTAATTCGTCTATACTTAAATAGTAATACTACAACTCCCTTTCCGAAAATTAGTAATGTCAAAATTTCATACTTCTTAGAAGGGCCTATCAGCTGTAAAATTAATAGGACCTTAGGCTTATCTATTGTCTATCTAGTTTGCTCATCTATTGCCCGCTTCTCACGTAAAATTATATTCCTCGCAGGGGGACTAGTGCAAAGATTAAGAAACTGCTAACTTGTAACTGCTGCTGTCGCGCGCGCCATTTGCAGCAGTTTCTTTGTACTATAGTCCCTGTGTCCTGTAGCTGTGCAGGAATTGCTGGCGTGAAAGGAGCTATAGAGCTCCGGCCCCTGTATCGTAAAAACTCTACAGTGAAACGACATTTGGGGTCACGACGTGATACAATAAATTCCAAACTTGGCGCGCGCGTCTTTTTACATTTTAGGTATCATTGATTGTGATTGACGATGTCAGTCGGATGTCGATCCTTCCGAGCTCACATTGGACCACTGCCTGCAGCAATAATAGTATATGGTATAACTAGAACTTTAACTGATAGTACAAATACATGTGCATCACTACTTACCTGAGGACCCCAGGCTTTAATGTTGTTAAAGATTAGGCGGAATGTATAGTAGTAGGCGGTGCACGATAAAAATAAACTTGCTCGGATTTTCAAAATTTTTGTACCATCGTTTTCTAGAGACTGTGAGAATTTTCACAGTAGCAAATTTATCATACCTTTTTGGAATGATCAGTGAGTTTCGCCTAGGTGCCATATTTGATGGTGCGCGGCTTTTGGAGCAAAATTAGGTGTAAAAGTCGCGTAATTTGACGAAATTCGTTGATTTTTGTCGTATTATTCTGTCATATCTTCGGTTCCTGAACATAAATCATGCTGAAAATTTGTCAGAACCTTCCAATCATACTTAACTGCCGAACCTAATTTAGTTGGGAGAGATTGGCCTTGATTAAGAGGTCTAAAAATTACAAAATAGGTATAAATTCGTTGATTACTCAAATTCTGAGCATCGAAATTGCTTAAACTAAATTAGGTTCAGTAGAAAATAAGTGTTTACGTAAGCTGACCAAATTTCAACAAAATTGTTATATGGGAAGTATAATAACTTTTCGATTGTTTCCTAAATAATGTGCTGGCCGAAATAAGAGCAATAAAACCATTCGATGGTCAGCGCGCGCGTTTTATTGTCGATGGCGCACTGCCTACGGAATGACAGGCTGAGCGCGGCCCAGTAACATCACTACGCGACTATGCGTACGGTCTGAATGATTTTAATTAGTTGCCATGCCAATTTAATTGGGGACCCTAGGCACTAGGCCAAAATTTTTATTAACATATAATATAATATTCCGTCGAATAAATAAATTCGGCGGAATTTCGAATGACAGTGGCCGACAGTTCAGGCTCAGCCCATATTACTTGTATCGGGTCGTGACCCCTAATGTCGTTTCACCTGTATGTAGAGTTTTTACGACACAGGGGGAGCCTGGCCGCGCACGGGTCATACAACGCAAGGGTCATACAACGTATGACAACATATTACTGGGCGGCACTCAGCCTGTCATTCCGCCGAATCTTTATTTATGTTTATAATATGAACATAATAGCCTGGGGTCCCCAGGTAAAGCCAGGTAAAGCCAGGTAAAGCTTGTATCACGTTGTGACCGGCGACCCCCACGGTCGTTTCATTTCACTATGGTGACAATACAGGGTCATACAACGTATGACAAGGTAAAGCCAAGTAAAGCCCATACCACTTTACCAGTAAAAATGATTTAACTTCTTTTCACTGCGGGTAAAATTTTAATTGGATTTTTTGCTCAAAATGTATCAAAAAACATGTTTTTGAATGTTTTAAAAAATTAATTTTGTTGGCATATCAAAAATTAGTATAAGTAATAAAATAGTTTAATTAAAAACATGACTGCCGCGCCACAGCACTCCTGCGCGCAGTGTTGTGACCTCCCTTCGTCGTATTTTACACACATTTGGACGTTGGCAATTTATTCCATCGATAATTTTAAAGTTTTAACATTTTTATATTAAATTCTTTTTTAATTTAGTTCTAAAACGATTGAGCTTGCTTTTTGTAAAAATTTAATGTACTTTCGTAAAATAATTTTGATGTGGCAGCGATTTGAAAAGGAAATTAGTTAAAAATAATACAAAAAAATCGGACATTTTTTGATATTAAAACATGAATAACTTGGGCTGTGTTGACAGTAGAAAAATTTATTAACCTCTATCCGACAGCTTTAAAATTTTTCTACGCGCCGCGCAAATCCACGCGCGCATTTTAGCGTGTCAAAATCGTTTAAAACTAGAATTAGTTGATGAAGGAGCATAATGCACAGTACATTCAAAATATTATGGTCAATAAATTTAGCAAATACATTTATTTTAACTTTTATAAAAATTATGGAAAAGCATTTCTTAAATTTGAGTTAATTGACGATGTCAAGTGGTGCATTTCGCAAATCTAAGTCTAACAAAATGGTTGTGAGAAGCATCAAATCCCAAATTTTTGTAGCGCAATGCACTACTGGGATAATTTTAAGAAACTCTTTGAAATTTTAAGAAACCTTTTTAATTTTTCCGGTTGATATCCGGCCAAACACTTGTAGCGCGATGCTGGATGCACTACCGGGTTGCGCCGCGCATTTTCTCGCAACCACATGCAGATCGGCGAGATGCGAAGGATTGACATCGTGAATCAAGCCAAACACTTTCTACTGAATTGTTTTTCATGGAAATTTTACGGTTACAATGTTATAAGGATATAAGATTCGACGGCGCGGAATTAAAAACAAAAACAAAAAACAAAATGATTGAAAGGGGTTGTGGTTTTTCAAAATATTAACTTATAAGTTCAAATTTGGAATTTTTTTCGAAGTTGCTCACTCCTTCATTTTTGCTAAATGCATCATTTTGATCCTGGACCTCATATCATGCATCTACAAAGTTTAAAATTACCTCGCAGATCAATGTTTCCCTCTACAAGTTTTAGTATGCCCTAGAAAAAGTTCAATTTCCTCCAAAGTCCAAACTTTTCTCCCATATTATCTGCCGTCTTTCTGGATGTGGATCCTGGAATGCAGGATGCTCGACGAGCGAAGTGAGCCAACGCAGTGAGCAACGCGAGGAAGCTCCGTCAGGGGTATTGGGGCGCAGCCCCCAGCGGGGTCCAGGGGCAGAGCCCCTTGGCAAGGGGCTAGGGGGGAGCAGCCCCCAGAAAATTTTTGAGAAATAGGGTGTTTTAGTGTAGGGGGCTTATTTTTTTTCTGGGGTTTTTTTCGGGGGGGGGGGGGGTACAGCCCCCCTATCCCCCCTGCCTACGTGCCTGCTTGGAGAACCCTGAAGGGGTTCCGTTCAGGCCCTTCACACTTTGTTTTTGTCGAGTTCTAATGTACCGTCACAATAGTGACTTTAAACTTTTAAAATATATTGAATCTGTTGCTTCACTAAACAAATATAACAAGAAATGCGGCTGCTTTTCTTTTGTGGATGGCCGCTCAATTTCCCGATCCGTGATGGCATATTTTATTATATTCCATACAACCTGGGGACCTGAGGCTTTACTGTTTATATATGGCGGAGTGACAGTGGATAGGCTGAGCGCCGCCCAGTTAATTCCATATTAAATTTGAAAATCGTGTATATTTCTATGTAAGTGTGACCATATATTATGTTTATTGTTTATGCAACCTGATATGACAATTGACACGGGTCTGTGCAAAATAGTCATACTAACTTGAAATAATATGCTATCAATTAGTGCCTAGTGGGATTCTTACATGGTGAAATTAATGATTTACTTGATCAGTTCAGCGCTGCGTCCAATAATAACTTAATTCAGAATATCTCGCAAAATAACTTTGCGCAGTTATATAGGAACGTGGGCGACATTTGTGTGCGAGGGCACGTATGTACGTACGCAGGCAGGCACGCACGACGGTCGCAAGCTACCATATGTCCTTGATTAATTATTTTGTGCCTTTGGCACAGGAGTCATGGATTGAGAAATAATACTGAGCTATTGTCCCAAACTTCAATATTAAGATACTAGGCTCAACATGAAAATAGTTTGTCTTTAAAAGAGGGACAATATTTCGAAATTATTGGTATTGAAAATTTCAATTTCTGCATGAAGAATGTAACTGTTGAGCAGCTGTTGTGTGTTACACAATTACAGTATATTTTTAATAGAGGTTATAAGTTGGTTCATTTTCAAAATGTTTACCAAACGTTAGACACATCATAGACTAATATTTAAGAGCATGTTAGTAATACAGCAAGATGAAAATACAAGGTATTAAATTTCAAGTTAGACTTCTGTTTTGTTGAGAGAGTAGAACTAAATAGAATCAAGCGTTTATTTTCTAATCAAAAGAACAAGAATTGGTGCATATATAGTGTTTTAATTTCGCATCCCATCTCGTCTCGATCACTGCCAGCAAACTCTTTGTGATGAATTCTTGTTTACCAATTCATGGTGCACTTGTATGTTGTGTTCGAATGTTCGTGTTTAGTATTTTTATGTTCTAAATATTTGATACATGAGAGATACCACTTTTGACCGCAAGGAGGATTAGGACTCCTTGAAATACATTCAAATTATTCCTTCTATATCATCCAGAACAATTTTACTTACAAATTCATGTTTTAAAAGTCAACTCATATATTTCATGGTTAAGTAATTGATACATTCATAAATAAGCAGGTATCTCCCAGTTCCCCCCCATTCTCCAAAAAATTAGTATGTGGTTGCAAATTGATGTAGGATAGTGTTTTTTACCAGCGGTAGTTTGAAAATATTTGCCTAGTACTACCATACAGTGTGCTCAACTTATCCACAATTATCACACCTGGGTCGGTTGCCTTTCTGAAAAGCCATACCGGCCGTTTTTCATTTGGCAAATTGGTTCTCATCAGGACAGTTCCGTGTACAATTGTGAACGTTTGTGCTTATTGCTTTTTTATGCATATTACACAAAGAATGGGTCACAATACCCATCGACCGTATTCTTTTGTAAAGCCTCTTTTTTAATGTTCTTTACAATAACCACGGTCTAGTTATTGACTACTAGCAATATGTAGTAAGATGAAAGATTTAGATGCATTTTTTATTTCATTGATTATAGATATGAAGTGTATTTTATATAGTAGATGCCTCTAGCATGACAACGGTAGAATGGTTTAAATATCTTTATATCGCTGTAATTACAAAAATCTATCTTGCATTAAAACTCATGTTGATCAAACCATCTAATAAACCTGAACTGTTACAGTCATGTCTATGCTGGGAGGAAAGGTAATTGCAGCGTTTGCCACGTTTTTAGCTGTACTGACCTATCTGGCTATTGGTGCTGCTATTTTCCAAGCTATTGAGCAAGAACACGAGATTGAGCAGAGAGAAGAGTATGATAAGCAGCTCAACCTTCTACTAGACAAGGTACAGTGTGACTTTTAAATACAACCACCCTTATTGGAAACTTATTTAAGTTATGTTACAGTTGGCTCCATGTTTTGACAGAGAGTTTGAGCCTGGAGGATCCCTTCTAGCAGGGTTTAGTAATAATGTTCTTACAGGTAGACCCAATATTTCACGATGAGTTGAAGGCTCCCTGCCACATGATAGAGATCCTGGAGGCTAACCCTAACAACACTGCACAGTGGGACTTCGTCAACAGCGTTATCTTCTGTCTTACCATCGTCACAACTATCGGTACAACTTTTATAATATACCATACGTTTTTTATCATGGCGTAACCAGCTATGTTTCACTAGCGCACTTTGAAAAAAATTTTGATTTTAGATCAAAGAAGTTTTTAAAATAAAAATGTTAACTGCTCTTGGTTTTATAATATGTAATTACTGAGGTACGTAAACTGAAATAAATTTGAACCAAAAGCTGCTGTATTTATAAAATTAATCGATCAGAAAATTCTTATCAAAAAACTCAATTTTCTGATCAAACAAACAGTCAACGTCTGCCTGTGTGTCATCTTGTTTATCAGTTTGTGTGATCATATATCTGTCTATATATCTGTCTGTAGGTCTGTCTGTATGTCTGTCTGTAAGTCTATCTGTCTGTGTGACGTGTGTCTGTGTGTCCTCACCACACCTCCACTTCATCTCCACTTCATGTCTAGATAACAGCAGCTGATGGTGGTTGTGTCTGATAACTCTGCTTAGTCCCTGTATGTCCCCCCTCTCGAGGCTGTAAACCAGTTTCTTTGAGAACGCTAGCTGCTTTCTTAGTTGCTTATCTCGGGGGATCTCATCACGTGACCCACTAGCTGACCAATCAGAGAGCGAGTATTGACCACGTGACTTATTCCCAACCAATGAGAGATCGCCTGGTTGTTTTCCTTCCCCAGAGGTTTTTACTGAGCTGTTGTTATTTAGGTTAGTGTTATCAAATGAAACTGTTTGTTCTTGTGAAGTTGTTAGCGGTAGAAGTGAGACTGTTTGTACGATTGTCTTTTTGTCTGTATCTTTGTCTGAATGTTTGTCTGCATGTTTGTCTGAATGTTTGTAAGTATGTTTCTCTGAATGTTTGTCTGAATGTTTGAGGATGGTCTTCCCTCTTGATGAACTGCGTCCTGGTATCTTCTTTATGTAGACTTTTCTGGAAGATTTTGGTATATCAAGTGGTATTTCCTTTTCAAGCTGGTTAATTGTTGAGGCACGTTGTATTAGAGTCACTTCATCAGTCTGTCTAACTATCAGTCTGTTTGTCTGTCTGTTTATTTCTCTGTTTATTTCTCTGTTTCTGTATCTGTCTGTCTGTACGTTTTCTCGTTTTCTTGGACAACTTCTCTTGTTCCAATCTTCCCGTCTCACAATTGTTCGCTTCATCTGAAATATCTTAAATCAACGTTTTAATTAAGCTGGATTCCTTTATCGTTTATGATTGTTCTCCGAATATATATATAATACCCACTATCTATTTTCTCTTGCAGTATTTGTAACAGTTTACTACTACGAGCATGTATATTGTATAAAATACGTGTTTTTGACCACCAGTATTACCTCTTATCAGTATGTTATATTACTATACAGCTAATATTAAACAGTAATAAATAGAAGAGTTTAGAGTGAACACGTATTAAATGACACAGTGTCGACCCCCCCCGAACAATACCCACAATCTCCACTAATCATTGATTACACACACCCCACACTTAGTGACCTGCACCAATAGTATTTACAAGTCCTTGTAGCTCGTCACGTGGCCAGCAAACCACCTGGCCGTACCCGCCTAGTAACCATGGTAACATGGTCACATTGCCAAGATTAGTGTCACGTGACTAGATGTTAACCAATCAGAGCGCGTTATTTGGTCACGTGGTTTGTAGCCGACCAATGATCCTGGTTTGATCCTGGTAAATTATGCAGTGATTTGTGAGATTACCGAGCGTGAATTAATTAAGGCATTGTGAGTGTGAACTGTGGGCAGCCGTGTGTAATACCATACTAACATACTAATACTATTACATAAATACTATCAATAATACTGTCATTACTATGTGATACCTTAAGAATAACTTATATTAAAACCTTTACTATTACTTTATTACTATTACTACTACTACGTGTAGTTAATAGTGATTCCACTACTAGTACTTCTACCATCATGTACATATTGTCATCTTTATTATAGTGTTACTTAGTACTTACTACTACTTATTACTTATTACTTACTACTTATTAGTTACTACTACTTACTACTACTTACTACTACTTACTACTGCTTACTACTACTTACTACTACTTACTACTACTTACTACTACTTACTACTACTTACTACTACTTACTACTACTTACTACTACTTACTACTACTTACTACTACTTACTACTACTTACTACTACTTACTACTACTTACTACTACTTACTACTACTTACTACTACTTACTACTACTTACTACTACTTACTACTACTTACTACTACTTACTACTACTTACTACTACTTACTACTACTTACTACTACTTACTACTACTTACTACTACTTACTACTACTTACTACTACTCCTACGATACTATCGACCATATAACAAAATGTTATGATGCAGTACAGCTGACCTACCTAGTACCTATGTTGAGTTTCGTCAAGACTTCTGAGTTCTGACCACCTCATAGCGAAGTAAATTCTCGCTCGTTGCGCCAGCAACGTTTTAATACAAACAACCAGACAACCATACGAACAGACAAACAGACGACCACATAACAAAATAGATAAACACACAGACAAACAGACAAACAGACATATATAATACACTAACTACGTGTAATATACCTAAGTGATACAGTATGTGTATGGATGAATTACGTGTGCGGTGTGAGCATTGTCCTGTGAACCTCTTGTTGAGTGATGTCCTCTGAAGCCGAGTGTAAAGTATTGAGTGATGATTTGCATGAGCTTGATGGTAAAACCACCAATCACTTGTTGTTTAGTAGTTCACAGTGGTGATTGTTGAGTGATGTGTGGTGAGTGAGTTTCTACCATCTAGCCGTTAATAAAACAAACTTCGAAAATAAACCCTTCAACAAACTCTTTAAACATTATTTAGAGGGGGAACCACCCACAAACTTGTAACAATAAATAAAGAAGCTGAAATATCAATAAGCTATTGACAAACTAGTAAGTACACAGTGTGGGGAGGGGTCCGGGCCCACAATGTAGCAGCCTATCAGAGATTTATGTATTTGGTAAAGTAATTTTAATAATGTTCGGATGGTTATGGGAGTTTGGTGAATGTGTAAAAGTTTCGCATATAAAGTCATACTTTTGGCGCACACCGCGCGCCAAACGGTCACCATGGACAATATCAACCTCGTGATCCTGTAATTTACACCATACGGGCGTATTTTGGTAAGGAGGAATATTCTCGATCTGGGAACATTCCAACGGCGAGCCAACATTAAATACATTGGTTACATATCATAGCATACAATTTCTTATTACACGCAGTAGGGACCTGTGTACAGTTAGCGATATTTAACTGTTTATCATAAACATTTGATAAAGAATGTAAGCTCAATAAAATTTAATTCATATATGCTCTACTAAAATTTTGGTCTACTTCAAAATTAGTCGCCTAAAAATTTAGTCACATCAAATTTGGTTTACAACAATTTTAGTCAAAAGTTTGACTAAATTTATGGTAGACTAAATTTGTCGTTCTTAAGGTAACTACACTCTTACTACTTGCTATTACTAACTACCCATTTAGAACCCGATTTACCGCGGCTGGTTTCTTCCTCGAGACTACCAACTGCACTACTAATCGGGGTTTAACCCACAAGCTACCTCGTTTACAATACCAAGTTCTAATTTGGAAATCAGCACGAGTGTGGCTTTACTCCCGAATATATTATATTATATCACCTGATGGCTGATTATTAGCTAATTATACTACCCGATTGTCGGGGTATTATCCACAAGTTATAAGCCAGTCTATTGTTCTAGATTCTAGACCGATCAGAAGCCAGTATTCACACCACGTGACACCAATTAACCAATCAGAGCACAGTATTTTGTTCTAGACAGAGGACTGTACGGAATGTGGCTGCTCCAGATCCTCTCAAATTATCGTCTAGTAGTAGAGCTATAGTAAACTGGATTTAAAGCAGTATTATTGGTATCTTGTACAGCAATGTCAGTCTGATTATTTATGTATTCACAAAGTACAGGTTATAGTTAACACAGCACTAGTCTAGGTGGGGATGGGGGGGGGGTCGTATGTTGTGGAGTGTGGACAGTTTATTCAGGTTATTGTAATGTCTTCGTACTAAACTATTAAAACAACTAAACTATCTCCTCGCTGCAGGATACGGAGCTACCTACCCAGTTACAGACGAGGGACGAGGATTCTGTATCTTCTTTGCTCTGATAGGAATCCCACTGTTCATGGCTTGTCTAGCGGTCTACGCTCAACACACTGCTAACCTCATACGATGGATTATGAAGAAACTAGGTAAGTCATTGGAACCGGTTTTCCGACAATTTCGCCATATTTTCGGACCGCCAAAATTTCGGTCGTCGCAAATTAGGCCGCCATAAATATGTCTTGTAAGGTAATAGTAATAATGTATAATGTATAATGCATTTATATTATACATCATAAATCATAATGTATGTATAATGCATATCTTTCAAATACCTAATTTTTCTTCTTTTTCTAGAGAAAAACGTTTAATAAACTGTGTCAATACCTAAAACATCTAAGTATCTGTGATAGTAATCTGTGATGTCCTGTGACACATCAGTTACCAGATCTTATGAATGCTGAAAGTACCTTGAAATCGTGTGACTCAGGAATTACAAGATCAGAAATAGCAGTGCTTTGCGTAGAAACCCGCCTAGCACGGTGAAAATCAGGGATTAGTAAGCTAGATGAGGCTTGTATTAGAGAGGTATTCGGCAGTATCGAGATAGCCCGACCACTGGTCCGCGGACCACTGTCCGCGGACCACTGTCTGCGGACCACTGTCTACCAGATCATATTACTGTATAATAACAGTATCCCCTGAATCAAGCAACAGGTGTTTGTGAATAGTTGATTGGTTACCAGATCATATGAATGGTATGTATGGTATCTTGGATGCAATTTGTTACATTTGGAGCGGACACGAGGAGCATGAGCAGAGGAGTTAGCAAGACCTCCGGCATCAGAAGATGCTACAGGGTCATGAGCAGCGCATGATATACCAGCATGCCTCTTGTTGCAGAAAACGCAGAAGATGATGTGAACCCTGCTTGATTCAGGGGATGATGTGAACCCTGCTTGATTCAGGGGATACTGTTATTATACAGTGGTCCGCGGACAGTGGTCCGCGGACCAGTGGTCCGCGGACCAGTGGTCGGGCTATCTCGATACTGCCAGGTATTCTACACAGTGTGTATGTTGTCAATATAATTTACATTTTGAGTAATGTTTGTTGACAAACATTCCTTTGAGTTGACACAAATTTAAATAGAGGAGATTTCTGTAGAAAATTTCAAAATGTTTCTTATCCCCCAATCAGGAGATATATTTTGGAGGGTAAGAAGATAAAATTTCGGTAGGTTAAAAAAAGGAAGGTCGCATAAGCTTCAATTAAGAGTGACGAAAAGTATGCCTCTTCTTAATGATGGTAATTGAAAAAGATCGCGATCCAACGTTAAGATCTGCGTGAAGATTAATAACCTAGGTAGAATTAGAGCATTTTAGAGATCCTATCAGATTTTTAGAGCGGCCTAAATATACTGATCATCTACTCCACCCAAGTGCTTTATTGCATTCCATATAATCTGAATTCTGAAGAATGTCAAACTTTACTCATCCGGATGAGGATACGGTTATTACAGGCTATGTCTGCCAAGAGCCGGCTGCCGGCCATTGTGCAGTTGTAAAGTACTAACTTGGTAGAGTACTAACTATGTGTTAGAATAATACATTCCAGCAGTGTACTAGATACTAACATATTTCTTAGGGTCACCACTTCTAATCTAATCAGTGGATAACAAAAGTCAGTGCCTCCCGGGCTAACGTATGCTAATGTATGCCGTTTTAATACATAAAAAGATACAAGCTCTGGAATTTTCTTAACCACGTACCAATATTATCTGCTAATATGTACAAAGAGTAGCCTTATTAGAAAAATATTTGCTTAGAAATCCATGATCCAGTACTATCTTATTATCTAGTGTACAGACCTTGCTACCTTACCAGCCAAGTATATAAAATTGTCGTTTAGGCGGAACATTATTCTTTAATTCCAAGCTTTTACAGACAAATCATCTCTTAATGCTGAATTCTTTGAATAAAACCGTCCACCACACTTAAAAGCTTTTAATCACTCTTAATTGGTCACAAAATCACTCCGAGTCTACTCATGACCTTGTGACTGATTAAGTAATGAATTATTTACGAATTATATGTAAAACCAAGATGTGAAGCTGCTGAATATCAAATACTTCTGTTTCAGGACTTACACACGGGCTAGAAGATGAACAAACTGAGAAAATGCAGCAACTCATCACTGCAGCTTTCTGTCTCACTGTCATCCTCACTTTCTCTGGTTAGTTTCACTTTCTCTGGTTAGTTTCACTCTCTCGAGTTAGTTTCACTTTCTCTCAAGTTAGTTTCCCTTTCTCTCAAGTTAGTTTCCCTTTCTCTCTAATTAGTTTCACTTTCTCTCCCCAGGTTACCTTACCTACAAGGAGAACTGGTCCTACTCTAACTCTGTTTACTTCACCTTCATCTCCTTCACTACTATCGGATTTGGAGGTAAGATTTGGTTTGTGTAGATGTGTGTGTAATGTTTGTCAGTATTTGTGCATTAGACTATTACTATCACCTTAATAACACCAGAATGTGTGTGTGTGTGTGTGTCTGTCTGTCTGTCTGTCCGTGTGTAATTTCCGGTCGGTTATACAAAAAAAACGGTAAGAGTTACGGGACTGATTTTTTCGGTATAGTGTCGACAAAACTTTGATGAAGCCCATAGGAAATTTTTTTAAAAATCGGCCGGTGGTAAGTGGTTTTATTGATGGTTTTGTACCACAAATGTTACATAAAGTTGCTTGAGCAGAACGGCAAGAGTTACGGGGCCTGCTCTCTCTTTCTCTCGCTCTCTCTCATTACTGTGTAATATGTTATCTGCTGCATTTAAGTAGCGTCATAATTGGATTAGCCCGGAAGATTTGCTGTAATGTTATACCTTAAGCTTATTAGGGGAGGGAGTACTGTTAGTGTTTGGGGTCTGTTTGGACTGCAGAGAGAGAGAGAGAGAGAGAGTTCATACGACAATGTTATGCGTGTTTTCAAATATAATATGCGGGTGTGGTGCGGAGTTAACAAGGGTTAATTTCTATAACGATTTAAATAAAAATAGAAAGCGGTTCAGGACGGGAGTGATGAGGTGTAATACTCGGTGTTCAGACCTTATGATCATGGAATGTGGTGCCTAATAATGATTAAATTATCCACAAGAAATAACTGATTATGAGATTATTGTTTAAGAAACTATTGGGTCACCTAATGCGGGTTTTGACTCAGCGGGTAATTACTCCCACCCTTTTTAACTGCGGCAGTGAAATCCCGGCCGTAGGCCGGGTTACACTAGTTAGTATATAATTTGAAAATATATTTTTTCCCTCACCATTATCCAGACTGTATGTTTTATAACTTCTACTAATTACCACTAATTACTACTAATTACTACTAATTATCACTTATTACTACTAATTACTACTAATTATCACTAATTACTACTAATTACTACTAATTACTACTAATTACTACTAATTACTACTAATTACTACTAATTACTACTAATTACTATTAATTACTATTAATTACTACTAATTACTAATTAATTTCAGATCTGTACCCCGAGTCCAACACGACTGACTTCCACATCATTTTCATCTGCTTCCTCATCCTCGGTCTCATCTCCCTCGGTAAACACTTAATTAACTGTTATAAAATCAGGGATATTCTAATTATTTAACTATTTAACATGACCTCTAATCGGAATGTGACTGACTGTTAGTTTCCCTCGCTAACTGAGACCAGGTCACGACCTCCTGGAAAGCACCGGTATATCAGACTTACAGTCCCGTGACTCTAGATTTAGTGCTATCTCTTACAATGTTAAACGCGGTTAGTCAGTCACGGTAATTGAGCCGTTACTTACTAACTCCGTCACGGTAATTAAGCGGCCTCCATCACATGCTAATTTATCTCAGGTACCGTGATTGAAGCTCAGACCACAAACTTTGGAAAGTTGTTGAACACGATCAGCTCCTCCTGCGACTGTCTGTGTAAGAACAGATGCTTTGGTGGTGACCGGGTCCCTGTGGATGAATAGCGTGGTATCGTGAGGAGAGTTGGAGAGAGGAGAGAGGTGAAGGGAGACGGAGAGCGGGGTGGGGTGTGGGGTATGGAGTTGGGACGGGATGAGGTGCTGGAATGCAAGGAATCTAGAGATGGTTAACTGCAGGAATCAGATACTAATGAACTAAGATAAAGAACTAAAGAAGGAAGATGATATTGAAATCTCCCTACCCCCTCCCTACACCTCCTTATCTCTCCTCTCCTTTCACTTATCATCTCTTTATCTCTTTTTCTCTTCTCGGACTAGAACACGAAGCTCTATCTGACTGCTGTATGCTGTGAGCTGTATGTGGTGAAAATGTAAAATGTGCTGGTGTAGAATATGCGAATATTACACTTTGCCAACATATTTTACATTTTATGACGAGTATTTATTATTTCAAGAAAAATTTCGATGTCGAAAGTTCGTTATATTATATATTGAACATTGTTCAAAAAGCTGTTTTGTTATTTAGCTGCTCGGCTAAGACTGTGTGTAGAGTGAGGCTGGTGTATGAAATATAATATATTCTTTATTTTCATATTTGATAATTTATTTTAAAATCCAATTTTTAAAAGTATATGCCACGTAACTTATTCCGCCTAAGCATTATACACGTTTTAATGTAAAATATCTGAGTTTTATAAAGTCTTTAAGCAGTAAAATATTCCCACAGACAATAAAAAGGGACAAAATATTCTGAAATAAATTTGACCTCTTTTTCACCATTTGTGAGGCTTTGTTCGAACACGTGCTATCTCCTCACAAGTTTGATTGGTAGCTACTGCAAGCTGATGATAGTCACGCGTCAAAACAAAGCAATGCCGCCTCTGATACACTTCATTGGAGGACACTCAGTTGAAGGTCGCTGCTTTCCCTGAACGACCGTAGTCTATGGTAACCATGGTAACCATGGTAACCTTGGTAGCCTTGGTAGCCTTGGTAACCGTGCAAGAGTGTTCTAGTAGTACAGTGTTGACTCTGTATTACAGAGAAAGTACACTGTACAGCGTACCAGGCTGTACCTTCAAAACACTCTGGATAGTACAGTCCTGTAAACTGAGTATGTTGAAAAGTGACGTGACAGTCAACAGGAGAGTGAGCCACGTGACTAGAACAGTGATCACGTGACTAGAACATTACATCACGTGGTACAAGCTCTAGAACACGTGACCTGGTGTACTACTGGACTAGTCTATCACTGATAATTGGTTCGTGTCTTGTTGACGTTGTTGACAGCCTGTATTCTACCTTCACTATGGTTGCCATGGCAACTGGTCGCGTTGTTAGGGTGTCATATTGTGTCACGCTCTAAACTGTCTGACTAGAATGTTTTACAAACTTTCTCTAATTGCAATAATTCTGTCGAGAACTACTATCAAGCAAGTGATCTGATGGCCTAAAATATTATAGTAACCGTGACTATTTGGAAAATGTTCTGTTCCTTATTATACCCACCATTATTTATGTAAATACATATTGAAAAAACAGATCTGTGTTTCACTGCTTATATTGTGAATATTTATTATCATGTATTCCGCTAAAAACTAAGTGATGATAGCCGCAATACCAAAAAACAGCAATATTTCCACCTTTCAATCGGTATTCACATGTCAGTGCTCGCAGATCCCACATCTCACTCTCCACTCCTTCCCATAGGTCAGCTCTGATCACGTGACCACTGTACTGCTGCCTGATTGGTGGAGCGCGCTGTTAATGCTATTATTAAAGTATTAAGCTGTTTCCGTGTGTGAACTGGACAGTAGCGTAATTATCACTGTTGTCATAGCAACTATTGTCTTGAAGACAGTAGTGATGCTAAGTCACGTTTTTCTAGGGTGTTCACGGTAATTAATTAAGTGATTGGCGAGGAACAGTGAGAATTAAATCTTTAATCTATTTCTTCACGCTTCCATGCTTTACGCTTCCATGAAACATTTAGATTATGTATGATTAACTATATAATGCATATTAAGATCAAAACTCTTAAATGTGGTGAAAGCAATCAGCCCGAACGGTGGTAGTTATTAATGTGATTTAAGTTAAATGCTCTTTTCGAAGATTATCCTGGTTATGGCTTATCATTAGAAGATATTTATCTTTATAAGACCTAGAGACCAGCTTTAACTTAGTTTTATCTTCGTAACGTTAAGCCTTTACAATTGTATCGTTGTCCGCAAAAATAGGGCTATTTTTACGAGTTAATGTAGATCATCCTGTGTAATTTTAACAGCATCAATATCCTGATCAAACTAGTGTGATTATTAGACAGGTTTGTTTTTTTGTTCGTCCGTTATGTCTGTTCGAACGATTACAGCCTAAATAATTGTCTGAGAGAGTAGATACTGTAGTTATCGTAGACAATTCGAGGTTAAGTGTGCTGTACTACTCTACTAGTCAAACTCACACTCACAGTGTCTAGTGGTAAGTAGGGAGCTGGTTGGTACTCCGTCATATTTTGTAGTGGACGATAAGTTCTAGAGTTGGGCTGTACGAAGTAATAAATAACGTAAGGATATTTAATGTGCGTGGGAAATGTTGAAGAGGTGGTAAAGTTGACTTGGAAAATTGATATAGAGATTTATTTATTCGGTGCTGGAAGCTGATTGGTTAACAGCTTCTCTCACGTGTCATAGACAACACGATACCCACTGTTACCCTTGTCTGTAAAGTTATACTAACTTTAAAATAAGATACATCAAAATGAGGTGATTTGGCGATGTTGTGAGATAGGAGAACACGTGTTCATCATCCATAATTAAAGTAGTTATTTTAAAGTAGTTATTTTCAAAGCCTGAAACACAATTGCTGACTTCATTGTTAATGTTATTTACGTACCTTTTTAAAATATTTAAAACGGTTTACCGTAATAATGTATTATTACTACGTTACCTATATTAGTACAATTCTTTTGGAACAGTTCTTTCTCTTTAGAATTCTGAACTTGAATAGAAGTTTACAACTTTTTTTCCGGCTATTATACTATTATACTCATCTTGAGCGTGTTGATATACATAACAAGGAACACACAACAAGGAATGTTGTTATATTTTAAACTCAAATATTCTATGGAATTTAACGGTCCATTACCTTTAAAACTGACACTGAGGTCTGAGAAAAAGGTCCATGGCCGCAGGCCGATAAATAACACGTGAATTTACCACCTAGCTGTCCTCTGTAAATCCTTACAAAAGAAAGCTTTGAACGCGTGAGCTGCATTGAACAGATTCGGTAGTGAGTCACATACCATATAATTATAGAGTTATGCGGAGGCGAAAAGAGCGGGAAGATATGTTTCTGTACCCTGGATCAATTACAGTCAACAATTCAACATTCTTACAAATAATAGAGTGTGTTATGTTTCGTATGCATATACGAAATACTATATACGAAATACTATATGATAATGGCTTCGTACCATATGCAACACCGTCCGTTGATTGTTATCGATCAAGGGTTTAATTTAAGCCAAATTATGTAAGCCTCCTGTATAGAGATAGCCAGAATAATGCTAACTTTAAAACATAATTTGTCTGAAAATAGTAAATCCTTCCAAGAACGTTTGAATTCTATTTTAGAGCACAAATTGTTCTCCGCTGGTTTCGGTAATTACTAATTGTTCTCCGCTGGTTTCGGTAATTACTAATGATAATTGCGCTGAAGATGAAATGCTGGTACTCTTTGCTGCATCTCAAGTCACAACATTGCTCACACTCAAACCTCTAAAAGTCATTCACTCGACTAATTCAACATAATACGTCAATCTGACGGGTGAAATTGTCCTGCAACCCTACCCAACTGCAACATTACCTGTGATATTACCTACATTACCTGTCTATTATGCTGTAAAACTACTTGTCATTAGTGTGCGCTATATTCTGAAAAGCTACTTGGCAAGTGTATTGAATTTGAAATATACTTGGCAAGTGTATTGAAATGAATAAATTGGTTACAATTTGCACGGCTGTTTGAAGTCTGCCGATGTTTCTTCTTATCGTGTGATGTGCTGGTCACGTGGTAGTAGCACGTGGTAGTAGCACGTGGTAGTAGCACGTGGTAGTAGCACGTGGTAGTAGCACGTGGTAGTAGCACGTGGTAGTAGCACGTGGTAGTAGCACGTGGTAGTAGCACGTGGTAGTAGCACGTGGTACAGTAGAACCCCGATTTACTGCGGAGTTTGGGAAAGGAAACGGCCGCGGCAAATCGGCGGTTTGATTGTTCATATAATGTATGTTATCGTTTGGGAAAGGAAATGGCCACGTTGAATCGGGTTCTAATTATTAATGTATACTGAGTGAGAATATCACGTAGTACACACTAAGAAGTGACTTGATAAAATCTGAACACTGATCAGACTTCTTAGTGAGTACTACAATTCTTGTGATTATTAAAAACGTAACTTTTATTACCACAGCTAATCAATTATCAAATCAAGGATTAGCTGATTGGAGGCGACTTGCTGTTAGCTTGTTATTGCTATATAGTGCTACATATTAGTGCTACATATTAGTGCTACATATTAGTGTTTTATATTATTACTACAGCCTACAGCAAGACTAATACTTGTTACGAACACCCGACCCACTTCTTCATGGAATTAGTTGTCGTCAATTAAATTGTAGGAAATCAAGCAGTTTTTAATTGGTTTTGATTCGTCATCTTCCCATGGTAGCTTGATCTAGATTGGGCGCAATATAACAACTGTCCGGCAGCCAAATTAAGAGCAAATTATTGATTAGTTTATTCAATTAATATAAAGCCACTATAATACATGATATGACGAGGTGCCAAATTGTTGTGATGTCAGTATTGAAGCAGGATGTTGTCGTTACTGCAATAGTACTTAGTACACATGCGCTAACAACAACACTTACTCACTTACAAGGCCCATATTTCGCTATAGATTGACTTATATTAAGTTTTGTCCCAGTACTTCGTGAGCCTAATGATAGAGGTAATGTGTCTGTGTCGTGTGTAGTCAGAATGGGAGCCTTAGATTGGATTTACTATATAGGGTTTAAAACCCAGAGGAATACATCGTGTAAAGTTAGCAGCGGAATTGTAAACCTGCAGAGATTGAACCTGTACAAAGTACAAACATTGCATTTTAATTCAGACACTTTTTAACAAAAAATGTTTTCAAGTCCTGAAGTTTTTGCAGCGGCGGCCTGTCTAAAAGACGCAGCTCTTGTACCTATACTTATTACTCAGTTACTCAGTTACTTAGTTAGTTAGTGTTGGGAATCCTGAGACACTAAGTACTAGGGCAGAACAATTTGGGGGAGGTTTTGTGACTTCAAAGGCATAGTTCATCTGACAGCACTGCAGTGAATCACCCTACGACAGACATTATCTGCTCATTTTAAACAGCACTTTTAAAATTTCAATGAGATGTGATGATTAATTGTTAATTAAGATAACCAATTACTCAATTTAGTTATTTAAGTTATGCTCTAGGAATGTGAAGGCGGGGACAGGACCGGCACAATGTCGGACACATAACTAAGTGAGTAAAACCTTATTATTAATAATTTAATTAAGTGAATATAAATTCATTACTCATTAAATAAGTGATTACATTTAGTAAAAAATAATTAAATAATTTACTAAAGTGAGTAAATACTTGTTACTACTTATGTGTTTAAAGTGAAATTAGTGAAACTCCCAAATGAGATGGAAAGCTAACAATAACTTTACACAATAATCTATAATATACATTATACACTGGTTAGTAATAGTATAAAAGTTTATAAAACGATTCATAACAGTTTTTAAAGGTGTTAAGTTAAACAGTGCTGAAGTGCAGTTAAAACATTTCCAAACGTCTAATTAGTTGTTTCTTATAATATGTTTCTTATAATATGCTTCTTATAATATCCCAGTTTGCTTGTTAATAATTTGCGCAGGTTCTGTATCTTATAAAAAGTCCAATGCTCGCCGACTAGAACTTTCAGTTTGAGCGTTCCGTATAAAAAGTGTCTTATCACCCAATTTAATAAAACGTTACCATCTCACTTGCACTATAATACTAATAGTGCTAATAGTGCTAGATAATAGACATCAACACTAATTGTAGACATTTCACCCCAGCTTTTTGAAACTGAGTTTTTAGGATAGGGTGCAAAGTCTTAAAGTATTGGGGGTGAAACGTTCGAAGATTAAATGTGCTATGATTTATTGTCGTATACCTAAGAGTATTATCATCTAAGATTATAAGAAAGCCATGTAGTTATGCTTGTGGTAAAGGTAGCTTTGTCTAGACTCTAGAGTCAATGTAGCAGTATGTTATAAGTGTTCATAAACAATACCATGCATACATTTGCAGACTAACCATACTAGCATACTATACAGTATACATACACTGACAACACTATACGTGTATATAAAATACACATCATAAGGTTGAAGCTAAGCTTGTAATGTACAAAGTACTGTAACTTAGTTACATAAGCACTCAGCTAGGATAGTATACAAGTGTAATAGCTGCATGAAACTAGCGGTTACCAGTGGTTACCAGTGGTTTATACCGGTAACTACTGGTAACTACTGGTTACTAGAAATTACCAGTAAGATAAGTACACAGCAATTGGATGGTATACAAGTGTAATAGCTGCATGTAACTTCACTCATTGCTATCTTACCGTGTAATGTCACTGTATGTGATCGTTATATCGTTATATAACTTATATCTATCGCTATGACCTTTGATGTACATTTGTCTCTTTATACATTTGTCTCTTTGTACATATTTTGTCTCTGCGTACATTTGTCTCTTCGTACATTTGTCTCTTCATACATTTGTCTCTTTGTTCATTTGTCTACAATTGTCTCTTTTTACATATTTTGTCTCTCTTCGTACATTTGTATCTTTGTACATTTGTCTCTTCGCACATGTTTTATCTCTTCGTACATTTGTCTTTTCGTACATTTGTCTGTTTGTCTATTTGTTCATTTGTCTCTATGTATACATATATAAACCTAAACTGTGTAATCGCAGTTTCGTGCGGGATACCCTATTGTTGGCATCTTGGTGAGGCTTCTTTTCTCTTATTGTATGATATGTTTTATTTGTGATTCGCCCTTTTTTAGTAATTAATTGAACATTAACTTGTGAACTACGCCTGCTTTGTAACCACTAGTTTTAGTGGAATTTCAAAGGTTTAGGTGGATAAGATGTGCACTATTATATATAGAGTTAAGAGTATAATACTATTATAATAGGATATAACGAGGCATGCTTCAATAGATCTGTTTATAAAATTATCAATGAAGCTATTGTTCCATTGAATCAGGTCTCCACTACCTTTGGGAGCCTAGATACCATTTTGCAGATAACAAACCCCAAACATGCACAGATGTGCTGATAAAAGGATTGATAGATCGTTTGTGCACATATAATACTATGCTGAGATCTAAATTACACACAGACACGGGGACGTGTCTATTGTTATTCGCTACCCTGGACGTGTCTATTATTATTCACTAACCTGGACGAATCTATGAATACCTTACAATGTTCTGTGAATGGCTTATTATACTGGTATACTATAATACAACTATTAATTTACAATAGTAGACACGTGCCGGCACGTTCATCGCATACCAGCCCCACACACAAGCAGTCACCATGACAACCACATACCAGCCACACACACACAGGCAGTCACCATGACAACCACATACCAGCCACACACACAAGTAGTCACCATGACAACCACATACCAGCCAAACACACACAAGCAGTTACCATGACAACCACATACCAGCCACACACAAGTAGTTACCATGACAACCACATACCAGCCACACACACAAGTAGTTACCATGACAACCACATACCAGCCACACACACAAGTAGTTACCATGACAACCACATACCAGCCACACACAAGCAGTTACCATGACAACCACATACCAGCCACACACAAGTAGTTACCATGACAACCACATACCAGCCACACACAAGTAGTTACCATGACAACCACATACCAGCCACACACAGTTAGTTACCATGACAACCACATACCAGCCACACACAAGTAGTCACCATGACTACCACATACCAGCCACACATAGTTAGTTACCATGACAACCACATACCAGCCACACACACAAGTAGTCACCAGTAGTGATTTATAGTGATTAACTAGGGGTTACTAGTAGTTACAGGTGGTTACTAATAGTTACATGCGGTTACTAATAGTTACATGCGGTTACTAGTAGTTACAGGTGGTTACTAGTAGTTACAGGTGGTTACTAGTAAGTATTTACCTAAGTATATAGAGTGTAATATAAGCTGTTATCTAAACAGATGATCACGTGACATAACCACACAGTTAACCACAAAGCTCTCACAGTTGTTTACGTTACAGTTGTAAAGTTGTGGTTATTACTCTGCAGTAGTATCTGTTATTTAGTCGCTGTAATTGGCACTAGATCTTTTCAAGTTTACCAGACCTTCTTGGCTGGAATATTGTTGGTTCTTATCGATAATAAGGAATAATTGAGATTATCTCCATCTTTACCTGTTTACACTTAACCGTATTTTCTCTTTTACTTTTAGCTATTGAAATGTTTGTTAGTTTCATTGTGTACATTCGTAGTCAATCTTATTTTTTAGGTTACAAACTTCGTGTAATACCTATATTAGGGTTATGATAAAGCATTGGTACGTTTAGTAGTGTATGTATTGTTAAATTGTACTGAACAGTGAACTGTTAACAGTGCGGATGTTATAGGTATTTTATAGTTTGGTCTTTTAAACTGGTACATTTTTGTGTATTTTGTCTTGTAACTTTGTGAATTACAAGTCACCGACTCACCAGTCAGCACTACTAATAAAGAAATGTTTCTTCATCCTTTACATTTTAATGTAAGGTCGATTGTGATTAGTCGACTAGTCGACTAGTCGATTAGTCGACATGTTCAAAGGTCCGGTATTGTCCACACATATGTAAAACATGTGTGGAATTTACACCTACGACTCAATACGTCTCCTTTAACAGCTACGAGGGAAGCGGCAGTTTGTCAATGGTACAGTACTGCCGTTTCCTGACAAAAGTGCTTAAGTAAAATTTTGGAAATTTCGGGTTTTTGGTCTTACATTTGTTTTTTGGTCAAGAACTATCCCTGAGGACCATTGGATACATTCGCCGACCCCCCGAAACCCTCTTTTTGGAACCCCCTAAAATGCCATTATACTTTTAATTAAATGTTGATTCTGTCAACTGAAGCTATATAATCGGTACTTACAAATCTAAATTTTCACGACGGATCGATTGGTGATGGTCATAAACTTCAGAAACACTAGCTTCGCCGAAAAATTGCCGATTTGTCAATGCAGAACCTTTCAAAATTTGCTTTAAAATTTTTATTCTCTAATCAGTTGAGACTGCAGATTTTTAGCTTGCTTGACCTAAAATGAAACAAATTGCTATTGCTGGGAGGAAAGATGAGAACGTATCTTCAACCTGGGTCAAAGCTATGAGGTATTTTGGTGAAGGGAGAATTGGTGAAAGCCGGGAAATTATTCTGTGGGCAGACAATTGTTCCGGTCAGAACAAATTCTGGACGCTTTACACTGCGTTATGTTCGCTCATAAACAGCCCTGACCTCGGGCTTGATACGATTACAGTGAAATATATGGAGCCAAGCCATACCTTCATGAGCGCTGACTCGTTCCACCATAATGTGGAACTGTCCATCAAACAGTGCGGACAGCTACATAATTATGAGGACTTTGTTGGTGCAGTGGAAAAGGTGGGTACTGCTGTTTCTATGGCCTGTTCGGACTTTCATTCTTGGCCTAGGTCATATGGGACAAGCAACCGCTGCAAAACAGAAAGACCACTGCTCGAGAAGGTGAAGGTTATCAGGTTTCACTGTGACTCGGTCCAAATGGAATGGAAATCAGAGCACAACGAGGTTTCCTTCCGTTCTGCTCCATTTCTGCGGCAGAAAGAAGAGAGATTGATCCGGTTAGGTATAATCATAGCTTTCCCACAAAATCAACCACGGGGTATAGCAAGCGCTTAAAAGAAAGATATAGTTCAAAAACTTTGTAGACTTATGAGCCCCGCAGTAGAGTATTTTGGGTTGATCTTCCCAGCTCTGACCATGTAGCAGATCTCAATTAATATTTATTAATGTGTATTTTCATTTACCATTTACCATTTATTTATGTACAGGATTATTAACAATCATGTCACATTTTTATACGCTTGTTTTTCTTTACCTTGCGTTACGATATCCATTATCATTAATCATTATTCGAAAAACCTTGGCCTTTACTAAGAAAGCCTCATCTGAATCCTTAATTTAATTTCTAAAGAAATATTTATTATTATCTCGTACTATCACCAATCAACTCTTCGTCAAAACAAGTGTCGAAATGCTGGTAGAATTCCGATTCAAAAACAAAATTTTATAAGGAATTGCAACGTCTCATTCCTTCTCGTTGCCACTATTTTTTAATCCACTGGGGAGTGGGGAGAAGGGAGTGTTTTCGTGTTCTTAAACCATCACCAATCAATTTGTCGTAAAATTGTAGGTCAGAATGATCGCAGATAAAGTTCCCATTAATGTTGGTGCACTTTAAGGACTTTTATCAGAAAACGAAATTTTCAAATATTTTATTTCAGCGTGTCCCAATATTACAACCAGTGTTTCATCACAACAGTTTAAGGCTTATTTTCGATGAACAATGGTTTGAACGGGTCATTTTCATCAGAACATGGAGTTTTTGCCGATATGGCTGTACTATACTTTTCTAAGAAATTTAAAAAGAAATTCAAAAAGAAAGTACTTTTCTAAGAAATTCAAACTATAATTTGTGATTTTGAGGCACTTTCCGAGAAGTTAGGATGATGAAACCTTGTCATAAGTCTCAAAAGTCGACAAAGCACCTTAAAAACATAGTGGGTGCAGTTTAAATTTGACAGCAGCTAGCCCAGAGCAATTACAGAATTGAAATCTTCAAAGTAAATTTGCACAAAATGAACCTTGTGTTACTTAAGCACTTTTGTCAGAAAACGGCAGAGTAACTAGCAAAACTGGCAAACCACCTAGCAAAATCTTTTTTCCTAGAATAATTTTTTACAGTTGATCTTCCCCCTCCCCCACTGTTTTATCTTTTTATGTAATTAAAACATTTCCAAACTCTACGTCTAATAAGTTATTTCCTATAGTTTATATCCCAGTTTGTTTGTTAATATTTTACCACAAACCCCGATTTTTCCGCTGGTAATTTCTTTCCCCCGAATTTTTCTTCAAAATTCACTTGAACATTTTCTCGAAAATTTGATTTTTCCGACAATTTTGATCCTTTTTTTTACAGTTTTTTTGTACCAGGGTCGCCCTAATGAACTAATAAAAAAGGTCGCCCTAATAATAAATAATATAAAGACATATCTGTCCAGGTCTGATTACTTCTTTGATGTCGCGAACTGTTTATCCTCCGATTCCAATGCAAAGTATTCGACAACTAAGCTAGAGGAAAGCCGCTTTTCAGCATTTGAATCACTTCTCACTAATAGGCTAATAGACATTCATGTTTAGAGGAGAGTGATTATCCCTAACTCCTAAGATGTAATGGACTTTATTGACGTGATACCTTATAGAACTGATAATACGACCGCTTACGCAAGCTCATTAGCTCGGTTCCCGATGTGCTTGTTAGCTCACGTGCTCGTTACTTCTTCTCGAATCACGTACATACTACGTCGACTAGAACTTTCAGTTTGAGCGTTTTTTATAAAAAGTGTGTTTTCACCTAATTGAATAAAACGTTATTGTCTCAGTTGCACTATACTAATAGTGGCTAGTAGTGCTAGATTTCAACACTTGCTACTTTAAGCACCAGTGGCACCAGATCTTTTCAAGTTTACCAGATCTTCTTGGCTGGAATTTGTTGGTTCTTAGGGATAAGTGAGATTATCTCCATCTGTACCTGTTTGCACTAAGCACTTTACTGTGTTTTCTCTTTTACTTTTAGCTATTGAAATATTTGTTAGTTTCGTTGTGTACATTCGGAATTAATTTTATTTGTTAGGTATATAAACTTCATGTATGGTTTAGCACCTGACTGGTTTTCGGGAGGTCGTGGGTTCAATTCCCGCTCTCTCACCCCGAATTTTCACGAAAACGTACTACCTTACTGCCTTGCTTCGGTTAGCTGAATGAGAATAAGACCATGCTGACCCACCAGATGAATTAAACGTCATGTAATACCTATATTAGGGTTACGATAAAGCATTGGTACGTTTAGTAGTGTAGTTGTTGTTAAATTGTACTGAACTGTTAACGATGCGGATGTTATAGGTATTTTATAGTTTGGTATTTTAAACTGGTACATTTTTGTGTATTTTGTCTTGTAACTTTGTGAATTACAAGTCACCAGTCAGCACTAACAAATAAAGAAATGTTTCTTCAGCCTTTACATTTTAATGTAAGCTCGATTGTGATTAGCTTATAGCCGATTTGTCGACATGCTCAAACGTCCGTTATTGTCCAAACATACGTAAAACATGTGTGGAATTTACACCTATAAAGACTCATTTCTTCTCCTTTATCAAATATCAGTTATGAGGAAAGCGGCAGTTTGTCAATTGTACAAGATTACTGTATAACTAGCAAAACTGGCAAGCCACCTGAAAAAATATTATTCCTAAATTAATCTTTTACAGTTGTTGCCCCCCCCCCCCCACTGTTTTGTCTATTATTGGTATCATGTTACCACGCGTATGTTTCCTCTATTGGAGTATTGATTCAATCTTACTGTTGTTCCCGAGTCTCTATTTTTCTATAAACTTCGCTCTTCATTGGCCTGTTCCTGTAGTCTTTGGTTGTTATTTGATTGTTATTGGGTCGAGACACTGCTATAATACGCCTCACTAATATCACAGTCATATTCTAACAGCCACAATCATGATTACATATTATTATGAAAGCACATATAATACCGGATAATGACACAAAAACACATATAATGCCGGATAATTAGCTAAATATATGCGGATAATTAGCTAAATATATGCGCTCAAAGCACTTGTTAAAGCAGTTTACGAGCAGTACGTGGAGTGATGTTAATGTGCCATCTCTCGTGCTGATGTGACACTAATGTTAATAGTAATGCGCTTCTTCGGCAACTTTCTTTCTAAGTCATCTTCCAAGATATTATACCTCGTTTAGTTTAGCTGCCTGATTTTAGTCGTGCGTTTATTTTAGCTGGTTTGTGATTTTATTCGTGTGCTTTATTTTTATCATCTCGGTCATGTTGTTGCGTAGCTGCTAGTCAGCATTACCTGTGTTTCCAGTAAGTTGTCTAGAACAGTTGACTTTTCCTAAGCTCTTCTGTCTAGTTCGTCGTGGTGTGTGAGATAAGATCTAAAACACTAAAAAACACAGCGAAACTGTTATCAAGCTGTAAAAGTGTATTAAAGAGACGAGAAATGCAGCGAAAAAGCAATGTTACTGCAAAACAGCTGGCTTATACAATGTTGTTTCCTACTGTACGTCATCTTGACTGCGTACCTTATCTGTTGATCTACTCAACACCTGATTGGCTGCTTATTTCCTGTGCTGTGATTTGTTGAGGTCTTCGTTTACTGTTCTCTGATTGGTTGGTGGTGTGTAGGATGCAACTGGTTGCTATGGTTACAGTTTGTGTGTTGTCTGCAATTAGCTGTTTGTATTGTACGTGATTGTTATTGTTGTTTGTGTACTTCATAGTGTATAACAGTAATTCATGGTACTTTTTGGAACTTTTTATAGTTGATTTGTTGTTTTCAAGATTTTATCGCCCTTCTAGCTATCTCTAGTTTTCTTATCTCATATTCTAATAAGTAATAAGTGATCAAACTGAGCAGGATTTAGCGCAATATTAGATTCGGCACGCACACGCTATTGTGCAAAGTTCATTGTTCCTGCTAATTTTCATACTATTGTTCTATCTTTCTGTTGTAATGATGATGATATATATATATATATGATAGCTATATATAGCTATATATATAATATATATATATACAGCAACGAAATATATATATATATTATATATAGCTATGTAATATATATAATATATATAATATATATATATATATAATAGCTCTGTTTTTATTACCTTATATTATCATTCTATAGTCTAGTCATATTAATATGATAATTCTATACATTGTCATTATCCAGACTTCTGTGTACAAGCAGATGAGAGCACTATATTTACTCAGTTAATTGCCCATGATATGATCTTTAATTATTTATAATGGGCTCCTCCTCGTGCAGAAATGCATGAATATCTTCCTCGTCGCTTGCACTTGTATGAGGTTAAAGAAGCATAATGAGCGGGCGTTGCCAGGTAACTGGATATCCTGTGAATGGAAGCTTCGTAATTTTCATTACAAGATGTTTAATTACTCATAATATTTTAAGTTTAGTTGTGCGTTTGTGGCTGCTGTAATCTTGGTTAAATTTTCGTCCCGTTTTTAAAACTTTGAATCAAGTTTTCTCTGTGGTCATCATTAGTAAATAGTGTACAGTATAATCTTACCGATAGTTACTAGTTACTCTAACATAGGAGGTTTAATGAGTTCATGTTTAGCTGTTTGATTGTAAGCTGACAGCTACTCGGTTTGTCTGCTTTGTCGGATTAAACAAGGTCAAATAGCTTCAGCATTTAGTCATATACCCAGACATATAAAACCCTTCAACATGGCTCGACCGCAGTAGACTGTAATGTAATACGTATCATCAGATTCTTATTAAGTTATTAATGAAATGTAAAATAAATGATGACTCTTATTGGTCGTTATAATTAAGGACCTGGCTAGTTTGGTAATGATTGTAACTTAAGTAAGTTAGTAATTTGATTGATTTATCGTGCGATGCTATCATTTTCATTTATTTACTAAAATAACAGCTTGTTGCAATAATTTACTCCAGAAACAGAAATATATTATATTATGATGTTATTATATATATATTTATATTTTGTCGTTTTAAATTAAATGAATTGTAGTTATCTACTATTGATAGTAATACGATTATTTATTGTCGTTCCAGTAATTATCTTAGTTGACATCATTATCTCAGTTACACTAATTATAACTCTAGCTTTTGCTGCAGTTTCATTTATTATTATCACTAGTTTTATTATCGTACTAATTTCACTGGGAATGATTTAAACAAGCTTGTTACTAGTGGTTACTATTTGTTACTAATTGCTACTAGTTGCTACTGGTTACTAGTGGTTACTACTGGTTACTATTGGTTACTAATAGTTGCAAAATCTTAAATCTTAACTTTCACCTTCACTCAGGATGGGGTGCAGTATAAACGGTAAGGCTATCGCAGCGTTTGCGACCTTTTGCACGGTTCTGGTGTATTTAGCAGTGGGAGCAGCTATATTCCAGGCTATAGAGGAGAGCCATGAGAACGAGCAGAGGAAAAACTACGAGCAGGAGGTCAGTAATTAGTGTTGATTAGTGGTTATTAGTGGTTACTAACGCTCTAACGGTTACTAACGATTACTAGTGGTTACTAACGTGGCAACTAATGGTTACTAACGATTACTAGTGGTTACTAACGGTTACTAGTGATTACTAATAAATATGTGTGGCTACTATAATTGGTTACCTATAATTACTATTGGGTACCTATAATTACTATTGGTTACCTATGATTACTATTGGTTACCATGGTAAGTAACCAATTGGTTTCCACGGTAAGTAACTCCTCTCTCCCCAGCTGCACGACTTGTTAGCTGATGTAGACGAGGATTTCCACGACGAGCTGAAAGCACCGTGTCACATGGTGGAAGTATTGCAGGCCACTCCCAATATCACTAACTCGTGGACCTTCGCTCCAACTGTTATATTCTGTCTTACTGTCGTCACTACTATAGGTGAGTCTTATCTGCATTAGTCTATTCTACATTATAATCTACATTCTAATATACTGTGTAATCTACATTATAATCTACATTCTAATATACAGTGTAATCTACATTATAATCTACATTCTAATATACAGTGTAATCTACATTATAATCTACATTCTAATATACAGTGTAATCTACATTATAAGCTACAGTGAAATCTACAATACAATCTTCATTATTATCTAGTCTTCATTATTATCTCATTCCCCAGGATACGGGTATATGTACCCAGTTACAGACGAGGGACGAGGATTCTGTATCTTCTTTGCTCTGATAGGAATCCCACTGTTCATGGCTTGTCTAGCGGTTTACGCTCAACACACTGCTAACTTTATTAGATGGGTGTGCAAGAAGCTTAGAAAGGTGTTGGGAGGAAAAGATGAGGAAAATGAAAAGGTGAGATTTTCGCTAAAACTAATAATAATATGTATTAATTCTTCATTTCTTATCATAATAATAACTGTCAGAACTAAAATAATTCCAAGAAAATTTAGATTGAACAGATGTATGTTTTTCCATATTATTAACAGCAGCACTTATAATTTAGGATCTTATTGTAACCTTCCACCATTAATAACCAATCTACTTTACAGGTTCAACAAATAGTGACCTTACTATTCTGTATAATAGTGATCTTAACATTCTCCGCATACCTATCGTACAAGGAGAACTGGCCTTACTTTGATGCCATCTACTTTACTTTCATCTCTTTCACTACCATCGGATTCGGAGGTGGGTTCAATAGTTACTTAACTTTAACTGTGTTAACTGTTAAGTGTATTCTCAGTAATAAAATCTATTAGCTAATGATATAAATAGGTCTTGTTGTCATATAATGTCAATGTATATGAGTCATATAAATTGAACTTGAACTAATTCCCATCATATTGTTCTCATAGCAACCACGTGTTACCAGAGTAACCACGTGTTACCACTGTAACCGTTATCCTTGTTCAGATCTGTACCCCGAATCTACGGATACCCTATTCTACTTTCTCTTTGTTTTCTTCATTATACTGGGACTCATATCTCTTGGTACTGTGATAGAGGCTCAGACTTCAAACTTCAGTACCGTAAGTTTTTAACTAGTAATATCGTATCAGAAATGTATGATAAATTCATGATTATTTATAATAACCATATTACTAATTACTAATTATTATTTCTTAGTATTTCCTATCTTAGGATAAATGTTTCCTTATTTCAGTTCCTAAACTTCATCAGCAGCACGTGCGAATGCTTGTGTGGGAAATGTGTCACTGTGGAGAACGATGCTGTCGTAAGTTGTTTATTATTTTAATTTTATGCATTTATTATAATAAATAATTGAGTCCCGCAGTTCGTCCGAAAATCTATACTTCTGTACAATGATCTTTAAACTGTTTGTTATATACCGGGTACGGTCATGTTAAGTATGTCTTCTGGTAGGGTGAATTAATATTCATCAGAAATCAGAATTATTCATTCTATCATGGACGTCATAAATTGATCATGATGCTGATTTATTACGTTTTTACTACGTATTAAAGTGTACTTCTAAAGGTCGAACAACCTCAATACAGTAGATAAAAAATTCAAACGAATTAACTAATTGTGCACAAAATATCAGTGAATTGTTAAACAATTTCAATATTTAAGAATAAATTAATAAATAAACGTATCACGATTTCCAGCCTATCTCTGTCCTATCTGTCCTGTCTGAATAAATAAACGTAACATTATTTACAATACAAGTCTATCTCTGTCTTATATATTCACCGCTCTCTCTGGTTTAGTTTCCAGCCAGCTCGTTATCTGTATATCCTTATCAGTCATGAGTGTGTACATATCTTGTACGAAGTGTTTACAGTTACTGTAAAAAGGATGGTAACTGGAGTGCTTCTCTGCTATTTGTCTCCCGTTCGGACAAAATAAAATACTTCGGCACTATTCCTGTATGATGAGAGTACTACTTGTAATATTCTTAAATATTCTTATTTTGTGAACACTTTTAGAATTGTCGAATCGTTTTAGCTCATTGGATGACTGTAAAACTCTGTAAAATGTTAAATAGTGTTAAATAGAGTTACGTACCCACAGCAGAAAAGTCCCTGAGCAGCAGCTTCGGGTCAGTTTGCCAGGCTCCCTCTCCTATTCTCTTTCTTCCGTTCATCTTCTTAACTACGTCGTCTTTATTAGTACTGTAGGTATAATAAGTTACTTTTAACATAAATGCAGCTTGTTTCACTATACTAAATCAATATGGCTCACGTACAGTAGCTAGACAAACTCTGTCGAACTTGAGTGATCTTCCTAGACTCTAGTTCGACAATCGACACGTATTAAAGTACAAGAGAACAGTGATCTTATCTCAAAAAGTGTCCTTCTTTAAGCACGATATTAATAATTCAAGTACCTACCTGTGTTGGAACACTAGTTCGGTTCTCTGTTTCTCCTGAGACCAGTAGTGTCTCACTCCCATAGGGTCCTGAGTCTCGTACACCATAACAGCGTGATAAGCTATGTCCATATCACTCGGGAGAAGATATTGGGCCTTTCCTGCTGAAACTGTGTGTTTCCAGACCTGCAATATGGCAACTTGGTCGTTTAGCTCCGGACAGTCTATGCAACGTCTATGCAACGTCCATGCAACAACAAAAGAACCGTCTATGCAACGTCTATGCAACGTCCCTGCACAATGAACACTCTATGCACACTCCCTGCACGGTCAGTCTATGCAACGTCTATGCAACGTCTATGCAACGTCTATGCAACGTCCCTGCACAGTACCATATGAACACCTGCTACTAGCCGGCTACTAGCCGGCTACTAGCCGGCTAGTAGCCACTTTTGTAATAACAGCTCCTCAACTTCACATTACCAACCGGCTACTAACCGGCACTTGAAAAGTGGTCACTAGCCGGCTACTAACCGGCTACTAGCCGGCTAGTGACCACAAAGTGGCTACTAACCGGCTACTAAGCGGTCACTAGCCGGCTATTAGCCGAGCTCTAAAGCAGACCTACTAGTAGCCGGTTCCAAACCGGCTACTAGCCGGCACTTAGAAAGCGGTCACTAGCCGGCTACTAACCGGCTACTAACCGGCTAGTAACCACCAAGTGGCTACTAACCAGGCAGTACATCTGAGGGAGGGAAGGTCGGGACTGTAAGACCGGCTACTAATAGGTCTGCTTTAGAGCCGGCTAGTGACCGGTTAGTAGCCGGTTAGTAGCCACTTGGTGGTTACTAGCCGGTTAGTAGCCGGTTAGTAGCCGGCTAGTGACCGCTTTTCAAGTGCCGGCTAGTAGCCGGTTTAGAACCGGCTACTAATAGGTCTGCTTTAGAGCTCGGCTAATAGCCGGCTAGTGACCGCTTAGTAGCCGGTTAGTAGCCACTTTGTGGTCACTAGCCGGTTAGTAGCCGGTTAGTAGCCGGCTAGTGACCGCTTTTCAAGTGCCGGCTAGTAGCCGGTTTAGAACCGGCTACTAATAGGTCTGCTTTAGAGCTCGGCTAATAGCCGGCTAGTGACCGCTTAGTAGCCGGTTAGTAGCCACTTTGTGGTCACTAGCCGGCTAGTAGCCGGTTAGTAGCCGGCTAGTGACCACTTTTCAAGTGCCGGTTAGTAGTCGGTTGTTAATGTGAAGTTGAGGAGCTGTTATTACAAAAGTGGCTACTAGCCGGCTAGTAGCCGGCTAGTAGCCGGTGTTCATATGGTACTGTGCAGGGACGTTGCATAGACGTTGCATAGACGTTGCATAGACTGACCGTGCAGGGAGTGTGCATAGAGTGTTCATTGTGCAGGGACGTTGCATAGACGTTGCATAGACGGTTCTTTTGTTGTTGCACGGACGTTGCATAGACGTTGCATAGACTGTCCGGAGCTAAACGACCAACTTCCCCAAAATATTCATTTTCATTCAGGAATAATGAAACGACCAAATGCAGAACTGAATCTATCGAACTAAATCAATATAGGCTCTACACTCCAAACAAGATGTGACATCCTTGGGTGAAACATAAAAACATCCTGAAAAATGTTAATACCTCTATATTCACAGTAGTGTGAGTCTCTATGTTCGTGCAGAGGGAGTCCAGGTCTACCGAGGCGTTCTGTGAGTAGAAGTGGAGTTTTGATCTGTTGTCTTTAAACTGTGTCGTCAGCAGGGTTGTCACTATCTCTTTTCCAAGAGTTGTCACTATCTCCTTGCCTAGAGGATAGAGTAAGGGTTAGAACCGTACTTTTGAAGTGATAATGACGTGCAGTTTTAAAATTAATAGTTTAAGTTGTGGGTTTTGATGTGACACTAACAGAACATATTTAAACTAAGTACTAACAGAACATATTTAAATTTTAAAGATTTAATAATGTTAATAAGTTTGATATATTGAAATAATTTCTGTACCTCTATCTTTGAGCAGGAAGCATGTTAGAGCTATGACGCTCAGAGCCAGTATCATGTTTCCCATCATCAGCATTTTTATCTTTCTTGTGTTTTTACTCTGTCCTATCTTATTGAACCTGTCGAGAAGTTTAGTGGTAGGCATCTTCGCGGTTATTGCGCAACCTTCGGACCACCTCCTTGCCAGTCGTATCGTGTTTTTACTCTGTGTCATAACCCCCATGATTTCTAAATAACAATTAGTTGGTTAGTAAAGCAGTATAAAATTATAAAAAATATAAATAAATATTTAACGCCATTAAAGAAAGCAAACAAATAAACTTGTGCGACGATAACAAATGAACAATCCAAAAATGAAACTAACACTCACTGCACTAGCTTAAAGTTAACCAGGTGCCTGACTTCACTTTCCAAAAGCAAAACTATTCCGGAACTCGCACTTTCTCTGGGCAGACACGCGTGATTGTACCTACGTCATACAACGTGACAAAACGCCAATTACGTGATCTTGTGATACACTCAATTTATTTTATAAAGATGAAGCCTTCAAATGAAAAATAAATAAAGACGGTAAGGCTTACAATTTGAAAAATTAAAGACGCCACAACAGCTGCCGAGTACCTTTAAAGCTTTAACATGCGCTATTTTGTGCATTGTTCGCCAAAATTAACCATCTTTATAACAAAAACGGACTGTAGTTAACTGTAAAATAAAAACTTGAAAAAGCACTGCTACACAGGTAAAGAAGTAACAAACACTAAGGGTCCCTAGCATTGTATAGTCATATAAGACAGGTAGAGCTCACAGTTATATAGGAGGGTAATTGTGATGATCTTGTGCACCTTCTGACCTAATGTTGTTACTGACTACTCAGTAGCAACATTGTCGGCTCATGCCACATCACGTGACACCACGTTTTTAAGGCGAGATATATAACACCCCACGTGTCACACCCCACGTGTCAGTTGTCACACCCCACGTGTCACACTCCGCGCAGCACCATCGTCATAACTTAGCGCTTCCTTCTTCAGATTACAATTTTTTTCCTTTTCTGGATGTAATTTTAATGTTAAGTAGATGATAACATCGCATATCAGGAGGTTCTTTTATCAGCTGACGTATTGATCCATAAATAGAAAGTTACGTTATCTGGTTTCGCAATTTTGTGTGACCAAATTTAGCCATCACCAGTAATCAGCATGACACAGCTGTGGGGTGATCTGTAAAGACTGAAGAGTTATATTGTGGTGATCTGTATCAATTGATGTGATATTGGAGGACAGCTGTAGGGGAGGTCCTGTACCCTGTACCCTGTACCCTGTACCCTGTACCCTGTACCCTGTACCCTGTACCCTGTACCCTGTACCCTGTACCCTGTATCCTGTACCCTGTATCCTGTATCCTGTATCCTGTATCCTGTATCCTGTATCCTGTACCCTGTACCCTGTACCCTGTACCCTGTACCCTGTACCCTGTACCCTGTATCCTGTACCCTGTATCCTGTATCCTGTATCCTGTATCCTGTATCCTGTATCCTGTACCCTGTACCCTGTACCCTGTACCCTGTACCCTGTACCCTGTACCCTGTACCCTGTACCCTGTACCCTGTACCCTGTACCCTGTACCCTGTACCCTGTACCCTGTACCCTGTACCCTGTATCCTGTACCCTGTATCCTGTATCCTGTATCCTGTATCCTGTATCCTGTACCCTGTACCCTGTACCCTGTACCCTGTACCCTGTACCCTGTATCCTGTACCCTGTATCCTGTATCCTGTATCCTGTATCCTGTATCCTGTATCCTGTACCCTGTACCCTGTACCCTGTACCCTGTATCCTGTACCCTGTACCCTGTATCCTGTACCCTGTACCCTGTACCCTGTACCCTGTATCCTGTACCCTGTACCCTGTACCCTGTATCCTGTATCCTGTACCCTGTATCCTGTACCCTGTATCCTGTACCCTGTACCCTGTACCCTGTATCTCTAGTATGAATTATTACTTACAGTTGCAATTAGCTACATGTAGTGCCGAGTTGTACATTGGACATTATATGTGAATTGTGAATATGCATTATGCATAGTAGAATAGGGGATGTTTAAAATGTCATTAATGAGTAAGACTGTAACAGCTTTCAGCTTAACCGGGAAGTATTGTAGGTATTAGGTAAACAATCAATATACATTATACAATCAGCCTGGTTCAGTTTCGCTTTCGCTTTTTTTTCACTTTCCTTTCCTTCAGAACGACGCTGACGAGCTGAGAAACGATAAGAAAGACGCTACAGTATAAGACCTTGTTACCATGGTAACACACACTTGGTAACTGGTAACATAAACTTGGTAACTGGTAACACACACTTGGTAACTGGTAACATAAACTTGGTAACTGGTAACAAAAACTTGTCATCATGGTAACATACACTTGTCACCATGGTAACACACAATTGGTAACTGGTAACACACACTTACTCACTTAGTAACACATTCCTCACTGTAGATAAGAGACACAGAACGCTGTTCTATAGTTCTATGGGACTACACCCTATTGTACTACATATCTGATATTAAATTATAGATCACCCTACTGTTAATGGAATACTGGAAAATATAAAAATAGGAAGAAGTCGAGTAGACCAACGCTATCTTATATTTTGACGTTTTATTCAATTAAAGAATCAACCCCGATAATGCTTATGACAGTTTTAATTGTCTCAATTCCACAATTTTAGAGATTGATCACCGCTCTCTCTCCGCTGTGACTCTGTGAGGACATGTTTTATAAAATGTTGTTATCATGTTGAAGTAGGAGTTAACATAATGTACAAACGACATAAATACAATGCTGCATTACACAGTAAAGCACTTTAATTGTGCAGTGTGCTTATCTCCGTTACTGCACCATGGTGTCAAAATGCTGTTAGAATGACTACCATGATGTTTCTATAGTGAAGTTTGTAGAAGTAATATGGGTGAAATGGCTAGACATAAAAAATGATGACCGTTTATTTTTGTTGATATTCTGCAGTTTTCGGTTTAGAATTTAGTTGCAAGATTAATTCAGTTGTGATTACCTGAAAAAGATTTGATCAATATTATATCACCGGTGTATTGTTTTGCCAAATTACTGCTTAAAGTTTGGCTTAAATTTTTCAAGAAAAAGTGCTGTTTCTTTGTTTTGTCCTAAATATAGCAGTATTTGTAAATAACTATTGATAATCGTTAGTTGTACCGTTCAATTGGAATTTGATGATTTGTGAAACATACGATATACACTTCGTTTAATTGTCTCATGATAATAAAGAGACGTTTTTGATACGTTACATCAAACTCATTCATAATAGTAAAAATTACATTTTTAATTTTGAACTTTCCATTGATAGGCAGTATTAAAATTTAAAATAACAAAAAAGCAGTTCCAATTTGATCGAATCTACGAATTTTATAAATTTTAGATTACACATTTGTTCACAAATTCAAAAAAAGATGAAAAATATTGTAAATTCTGGTAGGTCAACAAAATAGCACACATCACACAATTTAGACATGACATTCACATCCTTAACCCTAGCACACTGGCTAAATTAATTCCTGTATAACTGCGATATAGTCTCACGATCCCAGTGTATCTAAACAGATATTGCTAATTTATCGCAGTATATTTCTTATTCCTCCGAATTAACCGGCCTGTGTAGGTCTCAAGCAACAGCGGTTCGTTTGTCTATTAATAGCTGGCTTTACACACTGCCAATCTCATTTTGTATGCAAACTAGGAAATGTCAGTTGTTGTGGAACGCGCAGAGTTCGTTTTGTAGACAAGTCTTTCATGTTACCGCCCACTTTAGCAACTTGAGCCGCGCCGCACGCGCGCTTAATGTCATGCATATATTATATATGCAGCTAGTAAAGCAAAAGGCATACCTAGCTGAAGGCCAATAAATTTGTTTTTCTCAATAAATTTGGTTACCATAATTTTAGTCACAAATTTCGCAAATATTTAGTCTGCAACAATTTAAGTCACATTTTTCGACTTTTCGAGACCATTTTCCATTCCATTTACCTTAAGAACGACAAAGTTAGTGATAGTCTACCCGGTCTGAGCATTACAGATTAAGCTGCAATGCATTACTCAGGAATTTCAATAACATCAGATCCAGAGTTTGTGACTCTGTATCACTAAGTTCTTCAGTACACTGTTCAGTTTCTTTTTCACCCTTTTTCGACTTTACCATTTCTGTCGGTACGACGTAGTTTATGTCGATATGATCCTTCAACCTTTTCAACAGAGCATGCATTGGGATGGATCGATTAAAAATTTAATGTCCAAGAGGAGCTCTAACCCTTAAAGTGCAATAGGACTTTGGTACGGTTTTGTGCAGTAGGAATGGTGATGTCATTATATCATTATAAAAGTATAAACAATGTAAGCTTAAAATATTCAATATTCATGTCTATATAATAATATGGTCTACTGAAATTTTGGTCTCCTTTAAAATTAGTCGCCGAAAAATTTAGTCTCATGAAATTTGGTTTACAACAATTTTAGTCAAAAGTTTGACTAAATTTATGGTAAACTAAATTTGTCGTTCTTATTCTTATCATATTAATATGCACTTTTTCTCTATTCTGATACAGATAAATACCAGCCTCTGTTTCCACCACTTAGTCAGGAATGAGGCAGGACTAGACAGGCGAAGACTCCATTAACGATGTCGATAGCTTTGCCAGCTCTGAGAATATTAAACTTAAAGTATTAAGCTACAGTAAAACCCCGATTTTCTGCGCCCTTATTTAATGCAAGCCCCGATTTACCGCGGCCATTTCATTCCCCCAAATATGGCTTAACATGCACATTGTATACTAACAAAACCATTGTTTATGACAAAATCCCGATTTGCCGCCAACCCCGATTTACCGCGGCTGTTTCCTTTCCCCCAATCTCCGCGGTAAATATTCGGGTTTTACTGTACTTATGTCTTTAAGTCTAGTAAATGTCTTTGAGGCTATTTCTGTGATCAAGATACCGGATAATGTGGCAAAATGTTTTGAACTTCTCAAAAATTTGTGTCGCCCATTAATGTTGTATTTGCGTCCTTTCAGTTTCACAAATTAAACTATCTTTGCTTCTTGCTCGGTGACTTTTATTGACGCTTTTAAACTTTCATAGCCCACAATCGAAAAGTCAAAAAGCTTTTACTTGGTTTAAGGTCACGATCACACTATCCTGATCATATTCAAACAAACGGAAACAAATGTTTTATGGAATATGGATGCAAAATTAAAATATTAGATTTAACATTGCGGAAATTACAATTAAACGGGATTTAATACGTAAAATCGATTAAATAAGATACTTCAATGCCAATACAAATTTTTCCAATTACACTTGTTGAATTTTGCTGTATTTCTTTAATTTTATTCAGATCACTAAAATGTTGTCTCTTAAATTGAAATCATTGCTAACAGATCATAATAAAACAAGCATTTTAACCGGAAATTTAGATTAAATCAGAATGCACGATAAATCTGAATTTATATTTTCACGCGATCAATTGCCACTGTCGACAAGCAGGAAGAATAAAATTATCAAAGAAGACACGTGAAATAAAGATCACGAAAAGCTTCCCATAGACCACAAGGGACCCCTTTATAATCAATACTGTGAAGGATCATACTTTAACTTAAAGTAACTTTAAATTAAACATTGTAAAGATTTAGTCATCTTATTCAAACTATAGGGAAAAGTAAGTTCGATAAATCGGGGTATACAGGATCGGAGTAATCGGATTTATTGTTCTATACCGGTTTAATTGTCCAAGTTAACAGAACTAAAAATAAGTCAGCATCATAAGGAAAGTTTACAAATCTATGTCCTACAATTATACTACAAATATATTATGAACAAGGTATTAAGTTATATAAAGTCAAAACTAGTGCAAACATTACAATACAAAATATATATTTACAAATTGTGTTTAGAAAGAGCTACAGCTAAATCTTTAAACACTTTCTTGGTTATGCTATACTTTTGATTTAAAAAGTTAATCACAGTTCATTAGAAGTAAAGTCTTAATTAAACTCGTCGAAAATTAATTTCAGTACTGGTCAAACTATGATAGTTTAGTGTCTCTATCAGTTGAGTTCGACCTGTAAATCAACTGTTTGTCAAGATTTCTAGTTTGTTTATTTTATCGTTATGATCACTTTTCTTTAATTTAAATTATTTGTTAAAAATCATTAAGTAATCAGATATTTAGTTACAAGAGCCACTCTGACATGTATATTAAATATTTAATACACTTAGTCGATATAAGCGGGATATGAAAACCTTACTCCATTCTGTCAAGTTCCACCTCCTCGGCAGTCCCACTTTTTCTGAAGACAAGGTACTACTACTAAAGTCCCACTCCTTACACCAGCCTTGCGAGGAGAACACTAACTATCCCAGCAACCACCAGTCCTACCACTGAATACGTCACGTGACTAGCGCCGTTACAGAACGGCTCTGTGCAGAAGTTGCACGTGCAGTTCACGTGACCCGCAGCTGTACAAGAAGCTTCTTGTGCTGCACAGCCGTCCTGGCCATAGCTCTCGTATAGGCAACCCTGAGGGGCGAAATATAGTGTTAATAGACAACCCTGTTAAAATCGAATACTGAATCAATAACTGAATTTTATTTGGCTGCTAATTCAGAAACTAATTCATAGTTACTGGGCCGCGCTCAGCCTGTCATTCCGCCGAATCTATGTTAATGAACACGATAGCCTGAGGTCCCCAGGTAAATTCATAGTCGGTTACTCTATGCATGATTTTTATTATGATTAAACAAATTCCATTTTTTACGATAGTTTTTTAATGTATTTTACTTTTTGTACAAATCTATGTCACCACTTGTATTGCACTCATCGAGCTACCATTTATTTAAAATAGAAATATAAATAAATTGAGTTTGAACTTGAAGTACAACTACAGTTTCGGAGGAAATCTAATCTAAAAAACTAACAGCTATTCAAATTGCTTCTCCCTTAACAGAGAAAATTAAACAATTATAAATTCATAATATTGTTATTATTTTATGATAATAATCCCATTAAAAAAAATAAATAAATAAGATTTAAAAATAAAGAAAATGAATAAAGAAAATGAAATGAATAAAGGAAATAAAGTGAATAAAGAAAATAAAATGAATAAAGAAAATAAAATGAATAAAGAAAATAAAATGAATAAAGAAAATAAGTGTACCTTCTGAATAAGTGGAGCAGCAGTTGAATTGTCAGGATCCTTGAAAGACATGTAGTAACAATCACTAGACTGTGTACACACAGTTTTAAACGTCTCCGTACACGTATCATTACTCATTGTGGCGTTACAGTACACACAGTACTCTGCGAGGTTAAGTTCGGGATCATGAGTATTATGAGATAAGAAATATTATATCGGTTTTAGACAAAAATACAAAATACTAACCATGTAATTTAACGAAAAGCAGATAAGGTGCGATCATACTTTGATCGTCATGCTTTTACTTCACCCAAATCTAAATTTACAAGATTTTTGACAGATATACGAAAAAACACTACGTAACTGCAGCTATGCCTTGCATGCAAGGGCCGCAAGGCATAGAGTAGGAAGTATCAACAGCAACCTCTATATACTAAAATGATGTTGTTAGTTCCTTGTGCCGAAACAAGGAACAATCAAGACCTTATACAGTAAAACCCCAATTAACCGCCAAACGATTTACCGCAGCCGTTTCCTTCCCCAAATTAGGAATTAACATATAAATGTTAACAATCAAAACCCCGATTTACCGTGGACCCCGATTTATCGCGGTTTTTACTTTTCCCCAAAACTCCGCGGTAAATTTGTGTTTTACTGTAAAAACTTAATAAGTACGAACCTGGAGTATCTTTGCTGTATCTATAGTAACTAGCTCTATTATATCCGTAGCCAGAGAACGCAAACAGAGTCATATACGTCAACACTGTAGATCTGCTGTAGCTAGACCTGAGACAAAGTACAATAAATCTTAAAATTCATGTATTTATTTAGATAAATCTTTATATCTCAATCATTAGGCTCACATAAAACGGCAACTGTGAAGCAATCGGATTGAAAATATTTGTCAACCTACCGTAATCACATTTTTTCTATTTTTATTCTTTTACCCTTCTCTAATTACATTGAAACTTCTAGCTGTCATTCCAAAACTGCAGAAGTTAATTAGAAGAAGTGGAGACACCGTTCACTCGGGCTATCATAACAACCCTTTCTGTCACCCAACAATACAATTTGCAACTGCATAGCTTTCACCGCCCAAAATTGAAGCCAATCACTGTAATATTAGTATTGCAGCTATTTGAACTATTGCAGCTATTCGCTGCTGCCTATTTTAGCCGACTAATTATGTACCTAGAGTAATATCTGGACCCCCTCTTAAAGCTAGAGGTAAAACTAATTATGTACCTAGAGTAATATCTGGATCCCCTCTTAAAGCTAGAGGTGGAACTAATTATGTACCTAGAGTAATATCTGGATCCCCTCTAAAAGCTAGAGGTGGAACTAATTATGTACCTAGAGTAATATCTGGATCCCCTCTAAAAGCTAGAGGTAGAACTAATTATGTACCTAGAGTAATATCTGGATCCCCTCTTAAAGCTAGAGGTGGAACTAATTATGTACCTAGAGTAATATCTGGATCCCCTCTAAAAGCTAGAGGTAGAACTAATTATGTACCTAGAGTAATATCTGGATCCCCTCTTAAAGCTAGAGGTGGAACTAATTATGTACCTAGAGTAATATCTGGATCCCCTCTAAAAGCTAGAGGTAGAACTAATTATGTACCTAGAGTAATATCTGGATCCCCTCTTAAAGCTAGAGGTGGAACTAATTATGTACCTAGAGTAATATCTGGATCCCCTCTTAAAGCTAGAGGTAGAACTAATTATGTACCTAGAGTAATATCTGGATCCCCTCTAAAAGCTAGAGGTAGAACTAATTATGTACCTAGAGTAATATCTGGATCCCCTCTTAAAGCTAGAGGTGGAACTAGTTATGTACCTAGAGTAATATCTGGATCCCCTCTAAAAGCTAGAGGTAGAACTAATTATGTACCTAGAGTAATATCTGGATCCCCTCTAAAAGCTAGAGGTAGAACTAATTGTGTACCTAGAGTAATATCTGGATCCCCTCTAAAAGCTAGAGGTAGAACTAATTATGTACCTAGAGTAATATCTGGATCCCCTCTAAAAGCTAGAGGTAGAACTAATTATGTACCTAGAGTAATATCTGGATCCCCTCTAAAAGCTAGAGGTAGAACTAATTATGTACCTAGAGTAATATCTGGATCCCCTCTTAAAGCTAGAGGTGGAACTAATTATGTACCTAGAGTAATATCTGGATCCCCTCTTAAAGCTAGAGGTGGAACTAATTATGTACCTAGAGTAATATCTGGATCCCCTCTAAAAGCTAGAGGTGGAACTAATTATGTACCTAGAGTAATATCTGGATCCCCTCTAAAAGCTAGAGGTAGAACTAATCATGTACCTAGAGTAATATCTGTATCCCCTCTAAAAGCTAGAGGTAGAACTAATCATGTACCTATAGTAATATCTGGATCCCCTCTTAAAGCTAGAGGTGGAACTAATGATGTACCTAGAGTAATATCTGGATCCCCTCTAAAAGCTAGAGGTAGAACTAATTATGTACCTAGAGTAATATCTGGATCCCCTCTAAAAGCTAGAGGTAGAACTAATTATGTACCTAGAGTAATATCTGGATCCCCTCTAAAAGCTAGAGGTAGAACTAATTATGTACCTAGAGTAATATCTGGATCCCCTCTAAAAGCTAGAGGTAGAACTAATTATGTACCTAGAGTAATATCTGGATCCCCTCTAAAAGCTAGAGGTAGAACTAATTATGTACCTAGAGTAATATCTGGATCCCCTCTTAAAGCTAGAGGTAGAACTAATTATGTACCTAGAGTAATATCTGGATCCCCTCTAAAAGCTAGAGGTAGAACTAATTATGTACCTAGAGTAATATCTGGATCCCCTCTAAAAGCTAGAGGTAGAACTAATTATGTACCTATAGTAATATCTGGATCCCCTCTTAAAGCTAGAGGTGGAACTAATTATGTACCTAGAGTAATATCTGGATCTCCTCTAAAAGCTAGAGGTAGAACTAATTATGTACCTAGAGTAATATCTGGATCCCCTCTTAAAGCTAGAGGTAGAACTAATTATGTACCTAGAGTAATATCTGGATCCCCTCTAAAAGCTAGAGGTCGAACAGCAAGATGAAGCCTCTCCACAACAAGTCCTATCCTGCTACCTCCTCGTGGTGAAGACTGGAAACTGGATGAACAGTGGTGATCTCCAGGCTAAGGGCAGCGAAGGGCGACGGGAGGCTCACTGACCCCCGCGGATTTCAATTATTGGATCACATAATTATCTCCTAACTCTAAACCTCAAGAGAAGAGAGGTGCAGAGAATCAGTGACTCCCCCGGCTGTGGAGTGAACAGTAGCTAAAGAGGTATTGGCCGTTTGCCTCTGACCTTGTTTCTATGACCCAGGTAAACTGGACCACGCTCTGGAAACAGGATCGGCCCCCCATGCCTGGGGTAAAGAGGTAGTCAGGGGGAAGGTTAGCTCCCGTAAAAGTGGAGCCTTGGCTCACACTCTAATCTCCCTAAGCTTTGGGACAGAAGCGTATAGTCATTTATTGGAATTGGTGAAGAAAGAAGAAATAATACAACGACAGGACATCATCACAAAACCCACTCTTACTGATTAGTAGCAACAAGTGTTCTAGCGGAAGTTGTTACTCACGTGGCCAAGATGGATAAGTCATTTAACGCTCAAGTGGCGCCCGGCGTTAAGTAGGTGTCTCACTTTGCCTGATGTGCAGGGGACTGCGCATGAGACACCAGCCATTGAAAAGTTTGATGATGTCTTATAATAACACTAGGGTTAAAGTCCCTACCACTGATTTAGATGTCGGAGGGGACCGGATTGATGACTCTCTCACCCTAAAACTCCCTAGGAGAGGGGTGACAGATGATATGCCGGCTCCTTCACCCGGCACAAAAAATAACATAAAACAACAAAAAAGGATGGGGATGCATTGGTTTCTTGTAGTGAGGTAGCTCTAGTAGGGACATTTAATGTCCGAACTGCTAGAGAAGGTTACAAGCGCCTTGAACTCGTGACTCAGTTTCTGGAGAGTGGCATGGAGATCCTTGGGATCTAAGAACATAGGATTGTCCACCAGGAGCCGATCAAGATCGAAAATTTCAAGGAGGGGGTTAGCTTGGTAACTGTTTCAGCATGGAGGAATGGAGCAGGAGCAGCCACTGGTGGAGTGGGCTTTCTGCTAACTAGAAGAGCATACAGCGCAATCAGCCTCATTAAACCCTATGGCTCAAGGGTGCTGACTATCTCTTTCAACGGAAATCCCAGACTCACAACTATAACTGCCTATAGTCCTACCGAGGCAGCACTAGTTGAAGAAGCGGAGGATTTCCATAACACCCTTAGACAGGCTATGAATGATGTGCCAGCGCACCACCTGCTGATCACAGAGGGAGATATGAACGCCCGGCTTGGAAAGGAGAGTGAAGAAGATTCCCGTTGGTACTTTCATACTCGTACCAATCGGAATGGAGAGCTACTGAGAGACACTGCCCTGGAGTGCGATATGGAAATTACCAATATCCGCTTCAGAAAGAAGGTCAACAAGAGGTGGACCTTCTTATCCGATGGGACACTTAACAAAGGTCAGATTGACTATATCCTCATACGGCGGAAGTGGAAAAACTCATTAAAGAACACTGAAGTTTACAACACTTTTCAGTCGTTGGGATCTGATCACAGAGTTGTAGTGTGTAAGATCAAAGTTAGCTTTAGGAAAGGACACAGGCCTCCGAAAAAAATTAACTATGATTATAGTGCCCTGAAGTCGGATGGTGAGCTTCAAAATAAGTATGCAATTGAAGTTCGGAATAGATTCTCTGGCCTGGTAGAGGAGGATGATGGGGCCACTGAAAGCTACGGGAAGCTTATGGTTGCTATTGAGGCGGCAAACAAGAGCCTTCTGCCAAAGAAGACTCGACAAAAGCAGATTGACCCCTCAAGTGACCCAAGAGTGGACAGTGCAAGGAGGGGACCTGGGGACTGTTCTTGGCCAAGGACCAATACCATCAGGAGCCTTGTGAGGAGAAGAGAGAGGAAGTCGCCACTAAAAAGAATTTGTTAAAGGCCTGCTACAAAGAGGTAGAGGAGGAGATCCTGAAAGGAAAGATCAGGAAAGTTGAGGATACTGCTGATCGTTGTAAGAACAAGGAAAGCTGGAAGCTTGTCAACGATATTTCAGGGAGGACAAATCCCAGCTGTGGACTCGTGGAAGGGGGCAGCTCAACAGAACGTCTTGAGAACTGGAGGAAGCACTTCTCTGGGTTACTTGGACAGCCACCCACAGTCCCTGACAATAGTATTCCGATCAGGAATATACACCCTCCACTGAATATAGAGGATGGCCCGTTCACCATTGAGGAACTACGTCTTGCCAAAAAGCAGATAGTAGAAGGCAAAGCTTATGGTGATGATGGTATCTCACCTGAAGTGATGAAGAGGGTGGACATCGATGACGTCATCCTGAAGTTCTGCAACGATGCATTATGTGATGGTCTCATGCCCGATCAATGGAAGCTCAGTAATATTGTTCCTGTGCCAAAGAAAGGGGACCTCACTAAGACCGACAACTACAGAGGAATATCTCTGACATCGATAGTCAGTAAAACTCTGAACAAAATGTTGCTGAACAGGATGAAGCCAAGTCTTGAGGAAGTTTTAAGGGACAACCAGAATGGCTTTAGACCTGGGCGCTCTACAACATCGCACATCCTTGCTCTACGAAGAATTATGGAGGGTGCTAGAGCCAAAAATCTTAAGGCCACCATGGTTTTCATAGATTTCAAAAAGGCGTTCGATAGTGTGCATAGAGGTTT